TTTGATTACTTTCTTTTAACTATCACTTAATGTTCAATTGATTAAAACTCTCATATTTTTTAATCTTTTTTTCTGAATGTATTTATATAGAGTTTTATATAAAATATCAAATTTTTATATCATATCTATAATTTTAAATTTTAAATTTAATTTTATAATATTTAATACTATTTGAATCTTATCTTCTAAATATTTAATATTATTAGACATGGTGATGGTGGTTAATAATTTTTGAAAAGTGGTAATGAATATATGAGAAAGAGATTTCAATTATGATAATATTTTCTTTGATTGATTGATTACTTCATACACTGACCCAGCCGCCTCATAGGCCACTATGCGGGAATAAGCTAGTTCTAATCCATCCAACACCTGCAAAACTTAAAGAAATCACTAATTACAAGATTTTGATTAAATCACTGTCAGATGGTGGCAGCCACCTGTGAGGTGTCTAAGAAGAATTGAGTGAATAGATATAAGAAAATAATATAAGAAAAAACATTGAATGTCAGTGAATAAATATAAGAAAATAATATAAAAAAGACATTGATTGTCAGTTGGATTTTGCTTTGCAGCTGTCATATCATTTTTACCTTGCCCACACACATTGCTGCAGCATGAGCTATTGAGTGTTTGAAAATAATTAAGAACTCATTGCTTGATAGTTTGGTCCTGTACACTCCCAAATTGCTCAAGAAGTTTGGTTTTGAGTATAAAATTGACAGCTTGAGCCGCCATATCTGAATTTGAGAGCATTTTCTGAAGGTCTGTAGTTCTTTCCTCTACCCAGAGGTCCTTCTGAAGACTTATGTGCTTGATACAATTAAGCAGTACATGTTCCACTGTTTGATTTCCTCTGCTGCATTTGCATGTTCCATTCTTAACTTCTGAGACCTTTCTTCTGCACAGGAAATGATGTAGTTCAATGTTACTTGTGCACAGCTAAGTTAGAATACTTGACAGAGGTCAGATCAGCTTTGAGTGAAGTCTAGAGATGTTCTTGCTGAGTTCTTTGACTATTCAGAAGAGATCTCATTCATATTTCTCATGTTGCCAGATTTCCACCCAAGTCATTTTCATTTGAGTTCTTAGCCTAGTCTTGAGCAGCTTCAATGATATCTGAGTGATTGCTGTTCATGCCAATTGGCCAGTATCCATCTGAACATTCTGACCTCATGCATTTCTTGCTAGCCTCCAGCCTGTGGCCTCCTTGGCCACCATGTCTGCTTGCTCATTCCCTGGCATACTCTCATGTGCTGATATCCATCTTATTTCAATCTGAATATCAATCCCCTGGAGTTGATTTCAGATTTCTACAATTTGCTCAAGAATTTGTTGATTATTGATTTGAGGGTCATGAATTGTCTGAATTGCTGCCTGACTGTCTGAGAAGATAATAGTATTTTTGTTCAAAATTTGAGCCATGAACATAGCTGTTTGAATTTCTTTGAGTTCAGTTAGATAGACTGTTGCTTTGATTGCATTTCTCAAGTATATCTTTTCTGTGAAGTTAAGATTCTCAAGCACTGCTGAGGCATTTATCTTGTTGTTTATGATACTTTTATCTGTATATACTATCAGCTTGTTTTGTGCTCTCAGTCCTTTCAATCATCTCTTATCATGACTCTTTCTTGCTGCTTCTTTATCCTCTATATGTGTCTCTGATGGTTTCCACCAGAGAGGAACTATATAGAGCTTTCTGATTTCCAGATTGTTAATCTTTTCTCTGTCAAGAGCCTTTCAGCATCAGTGTTCATGTTGTTTCAAAGATGTTCATTTTGTTGACAAAGATTCTCAGTCATATCTGTAGCTCTGTCAGATTTCCTCTTTCTGAATTTTATCTAAAGTGTTCCATTGTGAGGTTGTTCTGAGCCTTAAATATGTTTCAGCTGTAATTCTTTCCAAGTGCAGTTGCAGTGGTGGAAGATGAGTCTCAATATCCAGTGCTGGTTCAGAAACTGTTTTGAATGCATCTGTGATGATCTTGACTGTTTTTCTTTGCACAGTTTCAAGCTTGCTGAGCAGTACTGATCTGTAGTTGAGTGTATTTTCAGCTGATGCATATTATGTTGATGCTGCAAATGTCATCTGTGGTAAAATAACAGCCTTGTAGATATTTCTCAGACCTTTATATTCTGTGTCTTAGATTCTGCCAGGCTGATAAGAGCTTCCAGAGTCTTGATTGTTCTGACTTTCACTTTCTCAATATGATTTTTTCATCTGAGCTAATTGTCAAGTATGAGTCCTAGTATCCAGCAGCATTAGCTTGATGTGATTGTATATCCTCTTATGATCATTGTATAGCTGTCATTAGATTCTCTGAATCTGTAGAACAAATGTATCAGACTGTATTTTGCTGAATTGAATTTTGAGTCATATGTTGCCTTCTATTTGCTGCACTTTTCATGAATTCTTTCAAGTGTTCTGCAGTTCTCTTCAGCTGAGCTGCTTGAAATCACAATATTTATATCATCTATCCAGCTCATTCCTGCTGTATCACTTTTTGAATTCTGACAGTTCTCCATCAGATCTGCATTAAAAAATAGATAGAGTATTGATGACATTGATGATTTCTGTGAAATTTCTGATTGCACATTTCTTTCCTTTAAGCTGTCTTCTGGGAGCTTGATAGAGGTTCTTTGATCTATCAGAAAGCTTTCTATCCATCTCACCACAGCAATTGAAATTCTTTATTTTTAGAGATTGTGAAGAAGTCTTGAATGTGAGACATAGTCAAAGGCATCTGAAACATTCAAAGATAGTATGAATACTGTTTTGAATGTTATCTGTTCTTTTTGTGCTGTTTCTATCTTCTTCAGTAGCCAGTGCAGAGCATGTTCAATTGAGACTTCTTTTCTGTCACTCAGATGCATTTTTGAAAAAAAATCATGCTTCTTTACTCAGTAGAACATTCTTTTGACAATGATCTTCTCCAGCAATTTCCTCACTATATTTAGCAGAGTTACTGGTTGATAGAATTTGATCTGAGTATAGTTCTTTTTCTCTGGTTTTCTGAGCACTACTGTTATAGATTTTTGAAAGTGTTTTAAGTAGTATTTCTGTTCCATGCAGGCATTGAATAGAATTGTGAGAGGCTGAGTCAGCTCTTCTATCAGAATCTTTAAAATCAGATTTGATATTTCATTTGAGCCTGGTGCTTTCTTTGCAGTCACCTTTTGAATTGTCTTCTGTACCTCACTGGGTGTGATTTCTGGCTATTCAATTGATTTTGAGTATACTGTTCCAGCTATATCATTGAGATTGGCAATGCCTGAGAGTGGAAAGAAGGTTTTGCTGAGCAGATCATACTTTTTCTCCAGTTCAGATTCTAGAGAGCCTTTTTCATATCTTAGAAATGGTGTGTGAGCAGCTCTGAACTCTCTGTTCTTAGCCCATTTGACCAGCTTCCAGAGGCCTTCTGTGGATTCTGTTGCTTGTTGTATTCTTTCTCTATGATTTCTTCTCAAGAGCTTCTGAATAAGTCTTTCTTTGTAATTTCTAGCTCTTCTATAGTCTTCCCATGCTTTCTTTGACTGGGTTTCTTGGTGGATACATCTCAGTCATCTTGCTTCCATCTGAGCTTTCTTGATCTTAGATGTCCAGTTTGGTATTGATCATGAATTGATGCATGACTCTAGACAGTGAGTTTCCATGACTGTTGTGATTGTCTTGACTATAGCTTTCAGATATTGATTGATCTTCTTCTTGCTTAGTGACTTGCTTGCTCCTGGCAGATTCTTTTTGACATTCTTCTTGAATTTCTTTTCTTTCAATTTGTGTCAAACTCTCTTCTTTCTTAGCTCATTTTGAGCTGTTGACATGTTCAGAATGATTGCCACTGATAGATGATCTGAGTCATGGTCTAATTCTGCTCCAGCTAGTCCACAGCATATCACTCTTTCTTGAACCCAGTGTGTTCTCAAAACCAGGTCTAGTGTGGTTGGTTCTCTCATTTCCTGGTGTGTTCTTGTCTCAACAGGTATAAGCAGTTCTAGTTGATAGTTTGCTATCAGTTCAAGCATGACTTCAGCTCTTTCTGATGTCTTTCTGACTCTAAATCCACCTCACAATGGGTGATGGAGATTGAAGTCTCTCAGTACTACATGCTCAGCTTCAGATTCCTCCTCTAGGGCCTTTTGAAGATCTGATATTGCATCATTCATTTCAAGTGTTCTTGTAATTGAGTTGTACACATTGTGTATGCATAGCACTCTTTTCTTATTCACTTGCAGTTTTAAGGTCACAATATCTATTGTATAGTGTGTATGTGTCCAGCCTTCTCCTATTCTCTTGTTTATGAGAAAGCATATCTGAGTTTTCTCATTCTTCTGGTAGATCAGATCAAATTGATCCTTGACTGAATAGTATGTGATCTCTTAAAACTTGTTTCACCATGGCTTCTGAATAGCTATAATATCATATGTTAATGCTGCTTGATCAGCAAGCAGTGATACCATGACTTGATCATGAAATTTGTTGACATTGTATTGAAGTATTAATAGAGTTGTATTATTCATTGAAGATCATATGCATGTCTGAGATCTGTGTTGATGATTGACTTCTTTGACTTGCACATCACTGATGTTTGTTCAGATTGAAGTTCTTCACTGAAGCAATCAATTGCTGATTATTGCTCAGCTTCTGTAGCACCTGTCTGACTGCATCTTCTTCACTCTTTTCCTGGGTTCCAGCTCTCATGCTCTTCCTTGGGGATCAGCCTCTCTTTTGATCCAAGTCTGTTCTCACTTTTGACTAGAGAATAGATCTGACTGAGACTTTCTTTGAAGTATCTGTTTTTCTATCAGTTCAAAATTCATTTGTGGTATCTTGTCAATATCTTGCTGCTGCTTTCTGATATGTATATGATCTTGTTCTCTTTCTCTCCTCAAGTCTGGCCAGCTTAGCCTTTCTTTTCTCACATTGAACACTTTATATTGAGTGTTTTTCATCACAGTTTGTGCATTTTGTCTCTGTTTTTTTTTTCATTCTTTTATCACAGCTCACAGTGCTGTGACTTCCTGCACAGTATCTACAAATTTGGCTTGCCTTGCAATGAGTTTCAATATGTTCATACTTTTGACATTTGAAGCATTGTCTCAGCTTGCAGATTCTATTGTAGTATTCACAGATAAACATCTGAGCTTCTAGTGCAATCTTCTTGATGATTGCACTATCTGCATGCTCACTATTATCAAACTTCACTATCAATGTGGATGCTTTTTTCTCTTCAAGTTTCTTTTTAAGCCATTTTATGTACTTGACATTTGCAGTTTCCAATGTTGAATTGTTCCACTGTATTTTGTCTTTCATTTCTTTGATATTTGTGACATCTATTGCTGTTGAGACTCCATGAATTAGAATTTCAAAGATAATAATCTGAAGAGCTGCTGTGTCTTCAAAAGCTTTCATCCACTTCTTCTTGTATATCTGCATTTTCCTTGTTGTGTTCTGATCATTTGTGTACAGTGTGATGTCTTCACTTGAGTGTCACTTTACAGCTAGAGTTTTTACACTTTTCAGATTTTGAACTTGACTTTTTTTCAGTGTTTTATTGATCTTTTCTTTGATTGTTTTTTCTGAGGCTGTCTGTATTTCACTTTCTGAGATAGTATTTTCTATTTTAATCAGAATCTCATGTAGTCTGCTTGAGGGTTTGAGTTGCATTGATGTTCTCAGAAGATATGGTTTCTGCAGAACTTGAGCATAGAATAGACTGTTGACCTCAGTGGGCTTTACAGCTGGAGCTGCTAGTATGTTCTTGATTTGAACTATATTCTTTCTCATCTCCTCCTGGGCTTTCATGACGGCTCAGAGGTCTGCAGTCAGTTCAGTCTGAGTTGACTGTTTTTCAGTCTTCTTAACATAGGCACTGACACTGCTCATGAAGGCTTCAATCATCTGCCAGGTTGGGTTTTGTGTTTTACCTAGTGGGTTTATATGATATTCTTTAAAAGCTTGGATGTCTGCTTCAATTTGAGTGGCATGGTTGCTTAGTATAAGGGGTTAACCCCTAGATTCGCTCTGGCTGGCTGACTCAGCCTAGCCATCGTTTGCACGTGCGCACGTGATCATGCTACGCGAGCTTGCTTAAGCTCGAGTTCTCGTCTCATTCTTTTCTTCCCTTTCTCAAGCAATTCGTCCTTGTTATATAGGAGGACTAGCCTCTAGTTCTTAGAGCTTAACCCTTTACACTTAGTTTGGGTGGCTGGATACCCATCTGTGGGGTATTTTGACCACTCGCCATATTTACTTGATACTGGGCGGTACCTAGAGAGCTGACAAGTAGATTGAGCCACAGTATGAGTAAAATAGAGCAGTGGTTGTGGAGATATTTCAAAAATATGGTTCCGACAGAATGAGGTTGTTTTGATAATATTTCCTTTATGGTAGGGTGCACTTACTAATGAGAGGTAGTGAGTGCATGTGGCACAGTTAGTTAAACAGAGGTTTAACTAACTAGCTAGCGAGGTACCCTGGAAAAGTGTGCCCCATCCATGGTCAGTTAACTACAAAGCACGAAGCAAATTTGACAGAATTGAAAACACAAATTAACAAGCGGTTTCTTTAATGACGGAGCAGATGATACTGTGTTTGACATGTTGATTTGGAGGAAGACGTGAAGGTTTGACCTGTGGCTGTAAATAAATATATTACTAAGTTAGTTAACATAATTACTTCATTGAGCGGCGGATTCTTTTTGAAAATCATCAAATATTCAATGTATTCAACAACCACATACTTAAATATTTAAAATATTATAAATTAAGACTATTTAATAGTTGAATATATAGCTATTTATTAGGGCAACTGCATATAGTATGTTCAAGAGTCCCACAGCTGCTGCAGTGCAGTAAAGCTCGCTGGTAAGACATAGCTTCAATTTGAGCTTTTACCTGCATATCAAGCTGCTGAACATGCCCACAACCTTACTGTATAGATAGAATAGTGTCCTGATCTAGATTAGCATGTCTTCATGTCTTTTTCTTTGTCTTTTGCTCATTCTCTGCTTATAGAATCTTGATTTTTTTCAATGAAGAAGAATAGAACACTTATTTGATTTTATATATTTCAATAATTATAACTTATTTATAATTTCTCTAAATAATTATATGTGATCCCTCACTGTGCTCAAACTGCAGTAATGACTTTAGAGATTATACAAAGTCTCATTGCAAAGTTAGTCTTATCAAAATTTTAAATATTATCTTTATGAATTTTATATTTTTAATATTATTGCTTAACTAAAAGCATGATAATAACAAAACAAAAGCTTCAATTCATCTATCTAACTAGGGAGCTGCGACGAGAATATTAAATTGGGGATTAGAATGTGGAATGAACGAGCAGCTGAATATAAATAGGTGGTTGAGGATCAGAGTGGATCAACCTTTAGAGCAGAGCAGATCAACCTTGAGCACCAAATATGGTTGAGGTTGGAGCAGATCAATAACTTATGGCTGAGGTCGGAATGGATCAACCTTAATCCATATATTACCAGTGACTGCGCCGTAACTAACAATGAAGGTAGCAAATGCGAATATTTTAGTTCATTTGTCACCGGGGTGCCCTTCAGAGCTCTCTACACTTACATACAACTGCGAATCCAACCTTTCTATCCAAGAAGCATCACCAAACGCATAAACGGGACTAACTCCGTTCATACACTTCCCGATCGATACATGTACATTCAATGGCCACACCACGCCCACCTCCTCCACCCGTTGTGCCTCCACAGCAGCTTTTCACGTAAGCCACCCTCTCGATTTCCCTCATGCAGTATTCTGTACGGAGTAACCAATAGATAATATGTACAAACAAACGCACCCGGCTAACCCAACCAAATCTTAATCCAATACAGAGGCCGACACTTGGTATATGCATTGGTTGCCTCCGTCGGCGCCGGTCTGTTCACCATGACACTCTACCGCATTAGGCAGGAAAAGATTTCAGAGGCGAGGAGGTTGTATGACGGGCAGCAGCGGTAGGGGAGGTACAACATATATATATGTGTGTGTGTGTGGTTTCTGGGATTGAATTGAAAATTGAGTGCTGGGTGGATGGCTGATTTCTACACAAGTTCGGGATTGCGTCTGATGCAGTTACGATGTCATGGTTCTATTATTATACACTTATACGCTGTACCTGTATGCATTTACGGGATGGGGTTGGAGGACAGGGCGAATGGCGGGTTGTTGGATGATTATACCGCCAGCTACTCCATACTCGCGCACACCATCTGCAACAGCAGCGGAGAAACCATCTAACACGCCGAGGAAATCAACCTCTTTTCGCAGACCAGAAATCGCGGATAGAATATAGAGGATCATGAGCAGGACATCCTTGAATTTTATTTGTTTGATGGAAGTGATGGGAGGAAAGTGTTGCCGTATAGTCAGTCTATGCGATGATATGATGTACTGTACATATATACAAATAAAAGACGGACCACGAATAAACGTGGTAGAAAGAACTATTTGTCTACTCTATACAAAGTCTCTAACACGCATTTCAATCGACATATAACGGTCATTGAAAGGATATATAAAGCACAAAACATTACCCGCCCACCTGGAACGCCACGGCACCGAAGTTCTAAAGTGAACCAACTCCTCTAAACACTGCCGGGTCGCCCCGACTCTCCACATCCGGACGTCCAGCTACGTCACGAGCACCAACCCCATCTGAATCAAACCCAACCTCCGTATCATCCCTACTCCTCGGCGCACCCTGCGATCTCACCGCCTTCCTCTTCTTCCTATCACGCTCCCGCTCCCGCCCCCGTGTCTGTTCTCTTTCCCATTCTCTTTCCCGCTGCCGTTCCCGCACCCTCCCAAGCCCCAGCTCCTCCTCATCCCGCCTCCGATCCCTCGCCTCCTCCGCCCGCCTCAACTCCCTCACCTCCCGAATAACATCGCGAAACCCATCCTCCAACGCCCTCATCCGCGCCAGCACAAGCTTGCTCATCATATCTTGATTATCACTGCCCGGTGCTACAGCAGGACGCCTCAGTGAACCCGTAGCGTATGCCATCTGTGTCGCGAAGCTGATCCCGGACGGTATACCGCCAACAAACCCACCGCCGACAGCTTTGTTGTCCCCCAAGTCTGAGCCGAGGCCCATGTCTAGAGAGGAGCGGCCGTGCACCTTGTGTAGGTCTGAGCTGGGCCATGCTAGATCCGCGGTGTCTGAGACGGGCATGAAATTGGGTTTAGGCGGTTTGATGGCGCGGGGTGCGGTTTGAGTACTACAGTCATCATGTCCTTTGGGTGAGCGCCTTTTAGGGGCATTCGGCCCACCGCCGAAATGGATAGAACTTGGCTTGATTTTACCATCTTGGCTAATGTCAGTGTCGGACTGATCGTCTGTCTGAGGCTGCCTGGGTTTGTAGAGGATTGTCGCACCGGAAGCATTTCGGAAATGGTGGCGTTGCGGAGTTTTCGGACGACGAGACGGGCTGTTCTTTCGTGAACTGATTAGACCCCGGAGACTGGAAGGCGTAGATGATTGGGCTCCCTGATCGTTTGTGTCACTGACATGCATCGACGTGCGCCCAGCTCCAACAGAATCACCTTGCTCATTGCAGGTGCTTGTGAGCTCCTCACCATCTTCCATATCCGTTTGTTGTGAAGACTGTCGGACATTTTGTGGCACTGGTAAGGACCGCAATACGCGGGGTAATCTACGGCGGTGGACTGTGCTGTATCCCCAATCTTCCGGATCTGAAGCTATCGACTGACACGTCGTCTCCGTAAGGTTTCGTACGGCGACATTTACACTATCTGGATATCTCCGAACTCTGTGCCTCCAGAAACGTTGCTTTCCCAACCTTTCCACCAGGTTCATATCCTCTGCGTCTGGAGAAAGTATCCCGGACTCGGGCTCAAGATTTTGCATCCAGATGTCAACAACCTTGCTAGCTTCTCGTTCGCAAGGGCTCCTTCGCCTTTGCGGTCCCCGGTAGCTTGCATGTTTGGCTGGATATCGAAATACCTCATCAAGAGCCCGATCCTTCTGATAAGTGGCAATGGATGGTTCCCTCACGCGTATGGAGTTTCGACGAGTAAAAGCATCAAAGGTGTTGTGATGGTCAGGATTCCACTGCCTAGCATCACCACGATTAATTAAATCAGAAGGTTCAAAAACATTCGGTCTCAGAATGGTTCTTTCGTATAGGTAGATCATAAAGAGGATCGGCATGTGAGTAATTTTGATCACTGTCCGATTGAGCTTGATATATTTTGGAAATGGCATTATGAATCGCAAGGGTGTTATTATCCACTCCAGGAGGTTGGTTGGAGCAACGTATGAGAACAGAGCACCTGACTTAACCATTGAAAGGGTGTTGACGGCAAATACAAATTGGTGTTCTTCGTTGGCATTTTGAACAATAGCCATAAAAGAGTTCGTCAGCACCGTGATAAGTATCGTTACGACAAGGAAATGGCAGATAAACAAGAAAAGCGTTAGTATTGTTTTCCCGAGCAGGTTATATTTATCCCACAGCTGCCAGGCCGCAGGCGTAAAACCCATTAGCATCTGAAAAAGGGCATAGACAACTGTCCCTGGCGAGTCGCCATTCCCGAATGAGAATGTAAATGCAACAAAGAAACCACTGCAAGCAATTATTATTAAGGTAAACACAGCAACAAGGTCCGCAGCCATCATACGAAAGGCGATTAGCAGTTGGGAGAAATAGCGATAGTGGTCAAGCACGGAGAAGAGACGGGGAAGGAGAAGAACTGCATTGGCAGCCAACACATCATATGCGTGGTTCGCAATGATCTTTTTGCGGTTGTCAGGTGCAACAACACCATATATTCTTAGGCAATAGTAGCAGAACAGCAAGAGCAATATGCCCACGTCGAATGTGTTCCAGAAGCTCATCAAATAGAGACTGAACCCTTGCTCGTTGAATCCGACAAGTTCATCAAGCATAAACCCTGCGCTCCAAAGCCAGAATATAAGCTCCAGAGTGGTGATTTTCAAGGATCTCTTTTGAATAACTGCAAGGAAGAGCCCAAGTAAGATGGCGAAGGACAACGTAGATAAAACCTGTCGATATAGAGGAACTCTAAGCCGGGAAAGTTTGAATAGAGAAGCGCCTCGAGGATTATAAAGAGTAACTGAGCGACGAGGGGTAGCGGCATTACGGTTAGAAACGTTGTGTTTAGTTTGCATAAATGACCCGTATCCCGACCGGGTATTTATGCGCGGTGGTGGTGGTGGTGGTAGGCGGTGTAAACTATCAGCCTCGAAATGGAAAACAATGTTACCTGCCCAGATAGCCTCGAGCTGTTGAACTACGAGTGGATGTGCGAGAAAGCGTTTTGCCTGGGCTCGGATGGCAATTTCCAAACAAGAGATACGGCCAGCCTTTGGGGGGGGGCCGAATTTAGATTTGTTGGTGTTATCCCGGCTCGAAGGTTGTAGGGTGCACAGGGTGCTGCTTGGCATTGGCGGTGGTTTTTCCTGAAGGGGATAGAAATCATATGATAGTGCATCAATCAACTCTCTCGTAGAGTATTCCTTTAGCAGTTTGATAGCAAGCAGCTCGCACACCATGGCCCGGGTATTGCTTGTGCCGCTATTCCCGGGGCTAGAATTGACTTCCTTTTTGAACTGAAGGCAATTGGCCATCAGTGCATAGAGAGTTGCTCTCGAAAAATGAGATTGGCGAATTTGCTGTTGAATTGACTTCAGCAGAAACTGGGATACCTGTGGAGACCGGAGCTGATCCCAGGACAAAGTGGTTTCGATGCGAGAAGTGATCAATACCCGAATGGCATGAGCCAGGGGGTATGTTGGAAGGCTGTCTAATAAGCATGTTAGTTCAGGGTGCTTTTTACTATGTCTGTTGATAATTAGATGCAGTGATAGTGGAGATTCCCTACCAAGATGAGATGCCGAAAATATGGGAAGTAGAGGAGATGCCTCCAGGCCGTCATGTTCGTCCTCGTCAGAGCCGCTATGATGGCTGTTACCTTCTTCATTTTCTTCATGTTCATGTTCATGTTCATGTGATTCTTGTTCATTTTCATCTTCCCCGTTCCTCTCGCCAGCGCCATCCAATGGGTTCATCTGTTCAACGTCCACATCTGGACCGTGTGGCCTAATGCGTTTGGGGCTCAGAGGACGCGGAGAGGAAATCAATGGGGCAAAAATGGAGGGTACGACAGAATGCCCTGTGTTGGAGATTTTGCGCCTGAGACTCAGAACAGGGGAAACCATTGTTTGAATTGCGCCAGAGATTTTCTTTCTTTCTTTTTCTTTTTTGAAGGGATGGGGTAAGCTGTTTAGGGGATTTGAACCTTGAAGATTGGATATGGAATCAAGGTGACCAAGTTAAAACAAACAGCCTGTCCCAGAGAACGAATAAATGAATGAATGAGAACCTGTAAGTCAGTTACTCTGTAGCTAATCACAAAAGTGACCAGAAAAAGAAAACAAGCACTATGGTCTCCCACCTGACCTGGAATCATTTTCTCTCAGTGCAAACAGCAGGAAGAAGAATATTTTTATTTAGTTGTTTTGAAGCTACATTAAGGCTGTATTGTAGGGTTTTGATAATCCAGCTTGCTCTGGGTTGGTCTGGGTTGGTTTCCAAAGGTTAGTCATCGTATCACGTGCGGTGCCTGGGTTAATCTTCGACTTCCAATGGGGGACGAAGATTTTTGTTTTTGATGTATTTTCTTTTCGGTCAATTCTAGTCAACGATGCTGCAATTAAACATAGATGATGGTCCAGGAGAAGTGAAGACAGACAAATCTTTGCGGGCTTCCCTTCCTTACCTCCAGACTTGGTGCCTCTGGGGAGGGATTCAATGGCTGGAGAGAAGAGGCTAAATTACGGATAGGGCCAGCATCGTTGATTGACCCCTCCTTTTTTTTTTTTTTTTTCCTCTTTTTGGTGTCTTGTAGTTATAGGGTATTAGACTGAAATTGATCAAGAAATTAATTAATTAGATTGAGAATTGAGGATACTTTCTCAATGTTGAACATGAGCGGTTGAAGATGACGAAAAGTAGAAGCACCTGATAATACACTCTGATACGAGACGAAAGTTACTAGAGCATTAGGGGTAGAATTGACTAAGCGCTATTGGCCAATGATATACTGGAATATCTGCCAAGCCCAGAACTGACAGCGGCCCCTATTGGCTGGCTGAATAAATAAGTATCTACTGGGGTATTGAGATTACCTAAACTGTATTTTTCATCTTTGGTTTGGGAAACTTTCTCATATTTTTCTTTCTTCACTTACCCATTCTCATTCCCACAAAACCACCACCCACCCACCCCTTATATACCCTCTTATCAACCTCACCCATCCCTCCCCTCTTCCCCTCTTCCCCTCTTCCCCTCTTCTCCTCATCTCTTCTTCCCCTCTTCTCCTCATCTCCTCTCCTCTTCTCCTCCTCTCTCTCTTTGCGAATTGATACTCTTCTCTTTTCGTATTCACCTCGTATTCACCTCACATCCTTGACGGGCATTCTTCCAATTCGTTCCTTTTTTGTCTCTCCTTCCGGCTGATGCTCTGTTAAAAACTCATTCCGTTGTCTGCATACTGTCCCCTTCACAGGGACCCTTCCCCCAGCCAACCAACCAGCCAATATGCCGCTCCTCAATCCCTCTCTGGATACCAAAAGCCCGTCTCCTGTTCATGCCAACTCTGTGAGGAGGAGATCAACTGCCCCTTCTAAACCCGCTATCGGTGGTGCAGTCGCGTACTTCCAGAACTTAAGAGAAGTCCTGCCGTCCCTCGCTCCCCAGGCTAATTCTGACAAGGGCGGTGCTATTCCCCCCGCGGCAGCCCCCATGTCTGGGGAGGGCCTCAAGTGGTACGCTTTGGAGCTCGAAGACGGCACTGTCTACCAAGGTTACGGCTTTGGTGCGGAAAGAAGCATCGCGGGAGAATTGGTGTTCCAGACCGGCATGGTGGGATACCCAGAATCCATCACAGACCCTTCCTACCGTGGCCAGATTTTGGTTGTCACTTTCCCCTTGGTGGGAAACTATGGTGTTCCCTCGCACCAGACCGTAGATGAGCTGCTGGGTGATCTGCCCAAGTGCTTCGAGTCAACTGAAATCCACGTTGCTGGTCTCGTCGTCGCTAGTTACTGTGGAGAGGATTACTCCCACTTCTTAGCTGAGTCGTCTCTGGGCACATGGTTGAAGGAGCAGGGAGTGCCGGCCATGTACGGTGTCGACACCCGTTCCCTCACCAAAAGGATTCGAGAAGAAGGAAGCATGCTTGGCCGGATTCTGCTACAGAAACCCAACGTCAGCACTGAAATTCTCAATGGAGATGCTGCGAGCAGCCTCGCAATTGTTGACGAAGATAGTCTTGATTCCTGGAGGGCACACTTTGAACAGATTGAATGGGTAGATCCTAACAAGAGAAACCTTGTTAACGATGGTGAGATTCAAAGCAGTTGCTAACACAACAACTCTTGATTTATCTGCTTTTCTCTGGGCTTGATTTTGGTTTATGTAACAAAAGTCTCTGTCCTCTGACTTGGCTTCTACAGTTTCTATCAGGAAACCCCGATTGTTCTCCCCACCAAAGGATTTGGCGCTTTCCCACCCATCTGGTCGCACCATCAGAGTTTTGTGTGTGGATGTTGGTATGAAATACAACCAACTGCGGTGCCTGCTCGCTCGCGGCGTTGAGGTCCTTGTCGTTCCCTGGGATTATGATTTTCCTAGCTTAGCCGGAAAGGAATACGACGGCCTATTCCTGTCTAATGGTCCAGGAGATCCTGCCATGGTTTCTAAAACTGTTGGGTATATTCAATCGGCACTCGAGGACTGCCGAATTCCTATTTTCGGTATCTGTCTTGGTCACCAGTTGCTAGCCCTGGCCGCTGGCGCAAGCACTACGAAAATGAAGTTCGGTAACAGAGGCCATAACATCCCATGTACCAGCCTTATGTCTGGCCGCTGCTATATCACATCACAAAACCACGGTTATGCAGTGGACGCCATGACGTTACCGGAAGGATGGGAGGAACTTTTCGTTAATGCCAATGATGGAAGCAACGAAGGTATCAGACATCTTTCACGCCCAATTTTCAGTGTACAATTCCACCCGGAGAGCGCTCCCGGACCTCGAGACACCGAGTTTTTGTTCGATGTATTTATCGACACCATCAAGAAGAGCGTAGTGTCGTCCAGTGTCCTTCATGAGCCCGTTAGCTTTCCTGGCCCGACTGCAGAGGAAACTGATCTTGCTCATCCGAGAGTCAGCGTTAAAAAGGTTCTCATTCTTGGTTCGGGCGGTCTCAGTATAGGCCAAGCTGGAGAGTTTGACTATTCTGGAAGCCAGGCTATAAAGGCCCTGAGAGAGGAAGGAATCTACACCATCCTCATCAACCCTAATATCGCCACGATCCAGACATCAAAGGGTCTCGCAGACAAAGTCTACTTTCTGCCTGTCAATGCAGAGTTTGTGCGCAAGGTTATTAAGTATGAACGCCCAGATGCCATCTATGTAACGTTTGGTGGCCAAACCGCCCTCCAGGTTGGCATCCAGCTCAAAGATGAGTTTGAACAGCTTGGTGTTAAGGTCCTCGGTACCCCGATCGACACCATCATTACTACCGAAGATCGTGAGCTATTCGCAAGAAGCATGGAATCTATTGGCGAAAAATGTGCCAAATCCGCATCCGCATCCACTCTCGAGGAAGCTATGGAAGCTGTCAAGGATATCGGATTCCCTGTTATTGTTCGCGCTGCATACGCCCTCGGTGGACTGGGCAGTGGCTTTGCTGAGGACCCAGACCAATTGCGGGATCTGTGCATGAAAGCCTTTGCCGCAAGCCCCCAAGTTCTCATTGAGAGGAGTATGAAAGGGTGGAAGGAAATTGAGTATGAAGTCGTCCGTGACGCCCGTGATAACTGCATCACTGTTTGTAACATGGAAAATTTTGATCCACTTGGTATCCATACTGGTGATTCAATTGTTGTGGCTCCTTCGCAAACCCTGTCTGATGAGGACTACAATATGCTCCGAACAACAGCCGTCAATGTCATTCGTCATTTGGGGGTTGTTGGCGAATGTAACATCCAGTACGCGCTGAACCCGTTCTCCAGAGAATATTGCATTATTGAGGTCAATGCTCGCTTGTCAAGGTCATCCGCACTCGCCTCCAAAGCCACGGGTTATCCTCTCGCTTTTATTGCCGCAAAACTCGGTCTCGGTATTCCGCTGAATGAGATCTCTAACTCCGTAACAAAGGTCACCTGTGCTTGTTTCGAGCCGTCGCTAGATTATGTTGTTGTCAAAATTCCCCGTTGGGATCTCAAGAAATTCACTCGTGTCTCTACCCAGCTAGGGTCTTCCATGAAGAGTGTTGGTGAAGTCATGAGTATTGGAAGAACTTTTGAAGAGGCCATTCAAAAGGCCATCCGTGCTGTGGACTTTCACAATGTTGGCTTTAATGCAACAAACGCACTCATGTCCATCAAAGCCGAACTCCAAACGCCTTCCGATCAGCGATTGTTTGCTATCGCCAACGCAATGCATTCCGGTTACACTGTTGATGATATTTGGGAGTTAACCAAAATTGACAAGTGGTTTTTGCGTAAGCTGAAGGTCCTCAGTAATTTTGGAACATCTTTGACTAGTTATAATGCCACCACCATTCCCGTATCGCTCGTCAGACAAGCAAAACAACTCGGTTTCTCAGACAGGCAGCTGGCCAAGTTCTTGAGCTCCAATGAATTGGCTATCAGACGGCTGCGAGTGGAAGCGGGCATTATGCCTGTAGTTAAGCAAATCGATACAGTTGCCGCTGAATTCCCTGCGTTTACTAACTACCTGTACTTAACTTACAACGGCTCTAAGAATGATGTTGATTTCAATGACAATGGTGTTATGGTGCTTGGATCCGGTGTCTACAGGATTGGCTCCTCTGTCGAGTTCGATTGGTGCTCTGTCAGGACCATCCGAACACTACGAGAGCAAGGGCACAAGACAGTCATGGTCAACTATAACCCAGAAACTGTCAGTACTGACTATGATGAAGCTGATCGACTTTATTTTGAGAATATCAACTTGGAAACTGTATTGGATATATATCAGCTTGAATCGTCCAGTGGAGTTATCATTTCTATGGGTGGACAAACACCAAACATTATAGCCTTGCCTCTGCATCGGTTGAACGTCAATATTCTGGGCACGTCTCCCGAAATGATTGACACTGCTGAGAATCGCTATAAGTTCTCTCGACTCCTTGACCACATCGGTGTCGACCAGCCTGCTTGGAAGGAACTAACCAGTATTGAGGAGGCTACCGAATTTTGCGCTAAGGTTGGATACCCTGTTTTGGTGCGGCCGTCTTATGTGCTTTCTGGAGCTGCTATGAACACGGTTTATTCGTTGGACGATCTTGCAAGCTATCTTAACCAGGCTGCTGAAGTCTCACGTGAACATCCAGTAGTAATCACTAAGTATATCGAAAACGCCAAGGAAATTGAAATGGATGCCGTGGCGAAGAATGGCGTTATGGTCGGTCATTTCATCTCAGAACATGTTGAAAATGCTGGCGTTCATTCAGGTGATGCTACTTTGATCCTCCCACCACAAGATCTAGATCCTCAAACCGTCAGCCGGATCGAAGAGGCCACCCGCAAGATTGGGAATGCCCTGAACGTTACCGGACCATTCAATATTCAATTTATCGCCAAGGATAATGACATCAAAGTTATCGAGTGTAATGTCAGAGCATCGCGATCTTTCCCATTCGTTTCCAAGGTTATGGGTGTTGACCTGATCGAGATGGCAACGATGGCGATGATTGGAAAGCCATTTGTGGAGTACCCGCTCGTCACTGTTCCGAAGAACTACGTCGGAGTCAAAGTCCCCCAATTCTCATTCTCTCGCCTTTCCGGTGCTGACCCCGTTCTTGGCGTGGAGATGGCGTCAACTGGTGAAGTTGCATGCTTTGGCCGTGACAGATACGAGGCATATCTTAAAGCTCTTATCTCAACCGGCTTCAAGCTTCCTAAGAAAAATATCCTCTTCTCCATCGGTTCTTTTAAAGAGAAACTTGAGATGCTTCCGTCGATCAGGAAGCTCCACGCGCTAGGATATAACCTATTCGCAACAGCGGGCACTGCAGACTATCTCAAGGAACACGGTCTTCCAGTGAAGTATCTCGAAGTTCTTGCGGGAGAAGAGGAGGACCTCAAGTCTGAATACTCTCTTACGCAGCATCTTGCCAACAATCTGATTGATCTGTACATCAATCTTCCCTCCAGCAATAGGTTTAGACGACCAGCAAACTACATAAGCAAAGGTTATCGAACTCGTCGAATGGCGGTTGACTACCAGACTCCACTAGTTACAAATGTGAAGAATGCGAAGATTTTGATCGAGGCGATTGCTCGCCATTACCCGATGAACGTGATGAGCATTGATTGCCAAACAAGCTATCGCTCTGTTACTCTCCCAGGCCTTATCAATATCGCAGCATTTGTGCCAGGCCTCGCAAACCCCGATTCTCCGGACTTTCAGGAGGTGACCAAGGCTTCCATTTCTAATGGCTTTAGCATGGTTCGCATCATGCCTGTCGGTGTGGATAGCTTTGTCACCGATTCGCAAGCATTGAGAACTGCCCAGCATAACGCTGGCAAGGGCTCGTACTGCGATTTCAACTTGTCTGTTGCGGCAACCTCTGCCAATTCTGACAAGGTTGGACAAATCACGAGCGAAGTCGGTTCACTGTTCATCCCCTTTAACCACCTATCGGGAAATATCAACAAGGTTGCGACAGTTACGGCGCACTTTGCCTCCTGGCCCACCACTAAGCCAATCATCACTGATGCCAAAGCGACTGACTTGGCTTCCATTCTGCTCCTTGCCAGCCTCCACAATCGTAATATACACGTGATGAGTGTTACAAGCAAAGATGATATTGGCTTGATCGCACTCAGCAAGGAGAAGGGCCTCATGGTGACCTGCGACGTCTCCATCTACTCCCTCTTCCTCTCCCAGGATGATTATCCTGGTTGCACATGTCTTCCATCGAAGAAAGACCAACAAACACTGTGGGAGTTCATGGATACAATTGACGTCTTTTCCATTGGAAGTCTTCCCTACCAGGTTGCGGGTAGCCATGCCTCTGCAGCTGTCGGCATCCAAGACGCACTTCCCCTGCTCTTTACTGCTATTTCCGACAAGCGCCTAACCGTGGACGATGTTACCTCCAGACTCTATGATAACCCTAAAAGGATCTTTGAACTTCATGACCAGCCTGATACTTCCGTGGAGGTCGAATTTGACCGACCATATGTGGTCCAGGGCCGTGGCGTTTGGTCGCCATTTACTGGAAAGACGTTAAAAGGATCTGTCGGACGAGTAATATTTCAAGGAAAGACCGCTTGCTTAGATGGCGAAATGATGCCAGATGCGCCAAAGGGATCAGACATGTCCAGTCATCATCTCGCACCCCCGGCACCATTATCACCTGTAGCCAGGGAAATCGTTCCTTCGACTCCTCAACCCGAAAGCTCTCTCGCAAGACGGTTGTCTATCTCAACAACACCGCTTGCGCGTCCATCGAGGCTTAGGGATCCTTCTGAAGGATACCCTGTACCTAATTCTCTGGATGAATTAGTTCCCGTTGCACCTCTTTATCCATATCCAATCAAGATATCCCCTTCGGTGCAACAGCTGCTTTCGCACTCCGCCTTCAAACAGAAACATATCGTTTCAGTCAGCCAGTTCAATCGTACAGATCTCCATCTTCTCTTCACCGTTGCACAAGAGATGCGGTTGGGTGTTCAACGTCATGGCGTCCTCGATATTTTGAAAGGCAGAGTTCTCACAACGCTATTCTTTGAGCCTTCTACCCGCACCTCCGCTTCCTTTGATGCCGCCATGCAACGATTGGGCGGTCGCACCATCCCCATCGCCACCGAGCGTTCTTCCACTAAAAAGGGAGAAACCCTCCAAGACACCGTCAGGACACTAGGCTGCTACAGTGATGCCATCGTCCTCCGCCATCCTGATGACAACAGTGCGGCCACTGCTGCCAAATTCTCCCCTGTCCCCATCATCAACGGCGGTAACGGTGCCGTTGAACACCCAACCCAAGCTTTCCTTGACCTCTTCACCATCCGCGAGGAGCTCGGCACAGTCAACGACATCACTATCACTTTTATCGGCGATCTGAAATACGGCCGTACTGTACATTCGCTCGTCAAACTACTCCAGTTCTATGACGTTCGCGTCCAGCTTGTCTCTCCCAAGGCGCTGGCTGTCCCTGAAGAGGTTCGCCAACAGCTTGTGGCGTCCGGCCAGCTTATTCTTGAGTCGACCGAACTTACCCCGGAGAGCCTGGCACGGTCTGATGTACTTTACTGCACGCGCGTGCAGAAGGAACGGTTCGAAGACCTGAACGAGTACGAGAGGCTGAAGAATACCTTTGTCATTGACAATACAGTGCTCAAACATGCAAAGAGCCAGATGATTGTCATGCACCCTCTACCGCGCAACCAGGAGATCTGTGAAGAGGTTGACTTTGACCAGCGTGCGGCCTATTTCCGACAGGTAAGTTCCACTCCGCTTTTTACCATTTGCCATGTCTTCTTTGTATAATTTACTTAGTCCCATTTTTTTAAAAAATATTACAGATGAAATACGGACTCTACTGTCGCATGGCATTGCTCGCATTGGTCATGGCATCGTGATGAGACGTCAAATTGAAACAAAACAAGCTCCGTTTCATGAATTTTGATATATAGACGTGCCCGAAGGCCCATATACTCTGGAAAACCGATCGATATCAAGACAGGAATTGTTCTTTATTTTTCGATAGCAACTCAACCTAAAACAATTTTGTTTCCATCGTATTGAGCATGGTTTCTCATATTTTCTTTCCTTTTTTGTCTTTCATTTTTCGTCATTATAACACAGAATCTTAGCAATGAAGAGCAGCCACTCCAATAAAGAACTGTAGGCATAATTTCCGCTATTAATTGACATGATATTATGTACTTTTTCACTTTGGTGTACTATTAATGTACTTTGCATGTATTTCTAATGATTCATGTGTGTAAGGTTTAAGTTGTCCATTATTCGGTTTTTGCATCATTTTATTTCTTTTTTCATTTTTATTTTTCATATTTTTTATCTCCCCTTCCCGAACCCCCCCCTCTTTTTTAACCCCCTTGTAGATATGGCTTATATTTTGATTTTGTCTCTTTTCCTTTCTCCTCTTCATTTGAAATGGGTTGACTCCGTCTGCTTCTCAGGTCCCTACCGTTTCTCATCTCTGTCATTATCTTTGTATTAGGTTTTGGCACTCAATAAATATTCTTGGGGGGGGAAGGAAAATGAACCTTACTTTTGAATTGCATGCAACTTATTATAAATACGTAGGTTTTTTTCTTTGGCATTGTCTCTGGGGTTGTAAGTTTCGTTTTATAAATTGTATCATACACTGGGCCTTTGCTGCTGGGATAACTTCTCTCCCACTCACGGTCAAGAAGAAACCGAAAGCCTTTTATGGGTTAGCATTGACTAGAAGCACCTACCTGCCAGTACGTTACGTACCTAGGTCCTCTGCAACTATATTCTACCCTGCTCTCTAATATCTCCTTCCTACCCTACTCCCTTCTCTGCCGTGTTCTCCATATGAAAATATCTCCTTAGGAAATCATAGGCTATTGTACCGCTAACTAATTTAGGAATAGCGCACCAGGACAGATTGTTCCTGAAAGCTTATTTCCTGATTAGTAATAACCACACGTTTATCACATGACTGCACCCTTTATCAAGCCTCAACTCAGGCCTCCGATGAACCCGAATCAACTTCATCAAAGAGATTTTCATTGTGTTTGTGTTTCCAAGTGCCCATCTCTGGATCCTCTCCATTGTGGAGAGAAACGGCAAAAGTCGCAGGAAAAGTCTCAAGCCACTCTTGTCGAAGCTTCTTTAATTCCCGCATTGGAACCGAGTCATCCCGTCCAATGTCCTTGCTCTTCCCCTCCAGGCAGCAGTCACTGCTCATGCTGGTCAAGGATTGAACACGACGACTGATTGTTTTGTGAAAATTGTTGTTGAAAAGCGCTTGCCAGTGTTTTAACTGCTCCCCCACTTCCCTTGCCATGTCATGGGCTTCCAACTTCCAAGGTTCTCTTGCTGGTCGCATTCGAAAGTTGAAGCCCTTTTGGCTGAGGTATTTGCAAAGGTTAAGGTCGATTCCGTTCGCCAAATCTCTAAAACTATGCCTTCAAATTACAAGCAACAATCCTCCTGTCACCGTATACTCTGGTGAATCTCCCAAAATTCTACGGAGTAATCGTGCCCCGCGCGCCCACACCTGATGTGGGTGCGCCACAGTGTAATGATAAAAACAGCGTAATGATAAAAATATGGATAATTAGAACTTCAAAAATTAATATCTCATCACCACACTGCTAATCTATGATAATTAATTTATCTATATCATCTGTAGTAGCTGTATTATTCATGAGATGTTCATATATATCATTAACCTCTTGTTGAGTTGGATCTGTGGCATTTTTCTTCAAAGCTTTTTCAACATGTTTGACTCTTTTATAATGTTCTTTTTCTACTTCCTCCTCTTTACATTGCACAATCTTTCTATTTGTATTCCTGACAGTGAGTATACCTCCTGCTTGAACCTGCTGATATGTATTTTTAGTGTTATAGTGTTTGATTGCAAGATAGTAACTCTTAATCTCATTCTCTCTTATAGCATTGAGTTCTGTTTGAACAAGGCTGTCATAGAAAATCTTGTTCAATTGATTGCTCAAATGAGATGATTTGAAATTAAGTATATTCTTCATATCTTGCATTATTTTCTTTATCATTTGAATATGATATTGTAGCTTCTCAATTATCTTGAGTGAGAATAACTATGATAAAGCAGTATCTGAACAGTTTGATTGCAGTGAAAAAAAGTCTTCTTCATATATATACAACTCAGAATAATCAGAGATCTTTGAATTTAACTTAAGCAGTATAGATTGTAAGTTGAATAAGATAATATTATAATCTGTAAAGTCAGTCTGAATAATAGAAGATTGAAAAGTCTTTTTGCAGATATCAATTAAATTCTGTAAAAATTGTTGTTTTTCATACTACTCATATTCATATCATATAGTTTGATTAACTATCTTTGAATGATAATGCTTATACTGCTAAAAAGATATATTGTTTAGAGATTGCAATATATGAGTTGAATGTAAAGAAAATTCATATAAAATAATTTTGTGAAAATCACAATATTGTAGAAATTCTTCAATGAAATGAGATTCATGATTGTCAAGAAGCATCAATCAATGATTACTTTGCTGACATTTTTTAAAGATCTCATTAAAGTGTTGAATTCATGCAAAGTCAATCTTATTATTAATATAGTCAGTATTTAATATTGTGATTATATATTCATATGATAGATTACTTTGTGTATATCAATCTTCAAGTTGAGTTTTGAATTTCATGATGATGAAGAAATTCAATATCTCATCATCTGCTGAAATACACTCAATCACAATGATCAATTCTCAAAAATATGATAAAGTTATAACTGAATTAAAGTCTTTTAAAGCAGTAATAACTCATTCTCCATGTTCTTAACTCTCTTGAAAGCCAATCTAATTGAAGTTGTAGATATCATAGATTTAAAATGTGTACTTTTGAAGTAAGATTTTCAAATGATCAAATCATATTTTGATATAGCTGATATTCTCAACAGCAATTCTTTTCAGATTTATTGTCTTCTGCTTAACTCTTTTATACTTATTCAAGCTTTGTATATATTAATAGATCTACATTTTGCTGATCACAGATGAGAAGGTTAAAGAATCAGTATAATGATATTTGAAAATGAGATTCATATTATCTTAAATCTGCTCTGCAGTTGATAAGCAATTATTTCTGTTCATATGAGCTATTCACTCTTTTAACACATTCTTCTGACTCTTGCTAAGCTTCTTGTTCAGTGCAGTCTTTGCATTATGTGTTTTTCTTTCATTGATTTTTGCTTGAAGATATTGATAAGAAATGTTGAATTTGCATGTCAGAGATAAGATTTTTTGTTTTCAATTGTCATTATAGACTTCAATGACACTCTGAATACATTTTTCAAGATCATCTATCTTATTGGTCATGGTGGTGGTGATATATTAATATTTGAAGATTGATTAATAAAGAAGTTGATATTTTTATCATTACACTGTTTTTATCATTACATTGTGGCACACCCACATCAGGTGTGGGTGCGCGGAGGCACGATTACATCATAACATGTGTGTTATTTTAGCCAAAACCAATCATTGATTATTGAAGTGCTCATCTGTAGCGTAAATTAGTTCCACCGTCCCATTACTAATTAAAACTCCAACCTGATCTGCTTCTGGAAACTGAAACTCGCTCTTGAAACTCCGATGCGCTAGATAATACTACTACCTTTGCCCTGTCATTAACCAAGTATCATTTAGGCATTATCCCTGCCTCACGTAACCACTTAAGGAACCTTAGAAGTAAGTTACTTAGCTGGCTGCGTTCAAGCGCAAAGCGTGAAGACTGAACTTGTTGAATATCGCCGAAATCGCTTTCCCCATCAATTTTCTTGGCCCTTTCAACTTCATTTCGGGGGAAAGGATGGTAGAACTCTCGTTGCTGTCGACAAAATGTAACTCTGCGGAAGTTATTAGTGATTGCGCGGCGTTTATGAGGGTCGAAAGGTTGGTGGAGCGTTTGCCTCGCTTAATACTTGATGTCTCAGCAAGGGTTTAACTAACATATTCACCCCTTACATTTCTTTCCATGTGTTTTGCCATTGCTGCTGCTGCTGCTGTTGTTGTTGTTGTTGTTGGATAAGTGAGGGGTGTCAAATTTAAACCCCTCTTTCTTCCATTCTTTTTTCTGTGTCTGTTTCACTTACTTTTGTGAATTTTTTGCCTATGGAAGGGTTGTGAAAAGAAATTATTCTTGATAATCATCACTGGGTTGATGAGAGATGCTTGAATAACTACATTGTTACATGCTTGCTGTTGTTGATTTTCTTGACAGCTAGCTAGTTCAATTACTGAAAATTCTGCAGAGTAATCCTGATGAGAATAGAATTAGAAATGACCTCAGACTTCAGACTTTGAAAACAGCTTTGTTTTATTTTTTTGCGATGTGGTTTCAGTGCCTTCCAGAAGATATTTATTAGGAATTCCACCTCCCCCTTTTTTTTGGTGATTATATCTTGGATTTGATATTACCTATAAAGCACTGAGCTCAAGACCACAAAAGTCAAAAACGAGAAATCTAGAAGCAAAGCAACAAGAGAGAATACAGAAATATCAACAACAATATAAGTTATGTGGAAACATTGGCACTGCAACTGGTATAGGCAAATATCAGATCGAACTCTTCTCCCCTTCAACAATACCCTTCAACTTCGCTGTCATTACAACGCAGTTTTACGACTCGACACCTCCTTCTCCTGTGTGGTCCTACTGTTTCTAACTCTTTCAGTATCCACCGAGGGAGAAGCCAAAAAGCTCCGCCCACAACCAAAGGAGCATTGCATTGAGTTCACAAGGGTTAAGTAGAACGCAGCTCGTGATATTCCGGGCTAAGGCTGATTTGCACAGAGCCGCTATTAACAATTGTTATTATTGAAAACCTTGCGCACACACAGCAAGTCTTCACACGCATCGAAATCGTCTCGATTAACCTGATTCGACGCCATAAAATTCAAAGCGCTGCTCCCTCCCAATACTTTACCTCGCGGCCAGGAGCTTTTGCGCTCGTTCAAGCTTGCTGGGCGGTTGTCACAAATGGCCGATCGTATTTACTTGGTCCCGACAGACTGGCCAATGTTGCTTGGGAGCGCTAACTTAAGGGTTCAATTTTAAATGAGGTTTGGATGCCTGAGCAAAGGGTCGAGAATTTAACTCAATAACTGTTAAAGATGACTCAATGAACTCGGCAAATAATAATCTCTCGAGGTGTTCTCCTTAGGCCATTAACATTAGCCTGGGATCCGTCGCTGGCTGGCAACTACAGTATCCACATCCACAACCTGGCAGCGATATCCATGCGGAAACTCCTGGGAGCTCCCAAAGGGTCTTGGGATGCTGTCTGGGGTGCATCTCACAGCCCACAACGGCTCCTCTCGTCGACTCCATGTCTCCAAACGGAACAGTCACCTCTATCCCGCCCTCTATCCCGTCCGTTGTATCCGCCAGCGCAGTCTACATGGACCTTGTCCTTGTCCTCGTCCTTGGAACATTGCGTCGTGATAGGGTCGTCGGCCAAGTCGACTTCTCCTCGACGTTTTTCGTGGTCGTTATATCTGTGTTCCGCCAACAGCACGGTCATATCCATACCTTTCGTCACATGAAGCACAAGCTGATGGTTCTCTTGTACGGGATCACGCTCAAGCAATCCAGTATGTTGGCTTTAATGGTGACCAGATACAAAGTGCTGCTGGATACGTTCGTGGCTCATATTTGAGTGCACGATACGAGAGGAGATGGGAAGATACGGATTTTACTGTTCTTCAGTTTTTGAAGGGTCAGAAGTCTCTAAATTCATTAGAGCTAGAGCAGGATGAATGCCCACTGATGCGAGAAGAAGCATTAGAGGTTGGGGTGCGTGCTAGGCCTTTGGAGGATGCAATCATTGGGTGCTCAGAAAGCAAGAGCAAGAGGTATTTTAATAAAACAATCCAAGATTTACAATTAGACGATCTTCTTGATTTACCTGTGTCGAATTTAAGCAGCGGTCAGTCAAGGCGGGAGCGGATTGCAAAGGCAGTACTTATGAAACCAGAAGTACTTTTTCTGGATGATCCTTTCAGTGGGTTAAGCCTACCCCCTTCCCACCCAATCAACCCCCAAGATTGAATATATGAAATCGATGCTCATCGTTACACAGTGGGCCTGGATCGGTCCATAGTGCCCTCCCTGTCCTGTCTATTATACCAGACCACATTACGCGGTGGCCCCCGTATGGTCCAGAACCAAATTCCTGGATGGGTCTCTAAGGTGGTAATTTTGGGCCTGGATCACACTCTTCTCCTCCAAGGTGCCCCCCCCGGGGGGGGTGTGGTATTTCAAACACTTCAGCTGTTGAAAGCTGTAGCCTCTCGGCCGGTCAAAACTTCATTCATGGAGCGAGCTGCTGAAAAGAGCCCATGACACCCAGAATCTAGTTTGGCGCATTCCGGCCGGGTTGAACTAGTACCCCAAAGCCAGGATGAGGAACGCGCTTTCGCATCCCTCTCATTATCAGAGAAAAGGGAATATAATAAGTTCCAGTAGTTACGTGAAAATGGTCAATTTGATGTCTATGCTCAAATTTTACACGAAATGGGAATGCTTTATAAACAACCAGAGAAAGTAGAGAAAAGGGTAGCCCCCCTTGGGCCAACTACTTGTCGAAATGGAAGGGGTGCGTGTTCAATATGGTGGTAAGGTGGTATTAGGAAATTGGACCCAAGAAGTTGATGGTGATAAGGAAAGGGCGGGGTTATTCATCGTGGACAGAGATGGTGATTGTTTGGCCTAAATGGCACGGGAAAGTCGACCCTCATCTCCTTGATCACTTCGGACCATCCGCAGACATATTCGCAGCCTATCAAATTATTTGGCCGCCCTCGTTTGCCCGAACCTGGTAAGCCTGGTATCATCTCGATTTTCCACCTGCAATCTGGAATTGGCCATTCCTCTCCAGAGATCTATGCTTTCTTCCCCAAACATCTCTCCATCCGCGCCTCCATAGAATCAGCTTGGACAGAGACATTCCTCTCGAAACCGAACCTCAACCCCTAACGAAGCCTGGACGTTGATTCTGTTCTACGGCTTTTCGAGGCAAACCTAAACCCAGATTTTATCCCTTGGGCAGACTTTCTCAATTCCAATACCGAAACCAATACCCCAAAAGTGGTTCCATCCACGAAGTGGGCAAACTTCCTCGAATTCTCCTCCCTTTCAGTCGCCCAGCAGCGCGTTATTCTCTTCCTCCAGGCCCTCATCCACAGACCTGACCTCATTATTCTCGACGAAGCTTTTTCCGGCATGGAGTCCTTCCTGCGTGACAAATGCTTTCACTTCCTTGAAATGGGAAAGCAGCTCGCTCAAAGTAGCGGCTCCAGGAGAAAGCTCAACTACGCTGATGTGTGGCATCTACCAAACTCCATAGCGGATTCGAAGTCACAGTTAGCCCGCTACACGGGCATTGCAGATCATCAGGCCCTGGTTGTCATCAGCCATATCAAGGAGGAAGTCCCTGATATCGTGAGTCACTGGATGCGGCCTCCAACACCAGCCAGCACAGCAACGGGACCTGTTACACCCAATGAATTGGCGCTGGTGATGAATTTCAAGGTTGGCCAGTTGAAAGCTCAAGAAGCTGTCGCGGTACATGCATGGGAAAATATTTGGAGGCCTAACTAGAAGGGTAAAAGAAGGTGGTTGTTTCATGGAATATGAATATCCAGCAGAAGAAGTGACCGCGAGTTGCTGATCTGGACTCTGTCAACTTGAGTTTAGATAGGAGAATGAGCAATTTATATCCAAGGGGTAGGTAACTAATTTATTATTATTATTATTATTATTATTATTATTATTATTATATTACGTTTTTATTATTTTATTACGTTTTTATTTATTATTGTTATTATTTTGACATGTCCTTCATGCGTGGATATATACCCCAGGAGAATGGCAGGCGCATTGGAAACTAAGGTAGCCATAGATCTCTAAGAGATATATGAACATGTTTAGACCACTAAACTTGTGCCCCAATATAAAACATATCAAATATATATAGGCTTCTCCCACGCTTTAAATACTTCGTAGTTAGGTTATGCGCAGGTACTTGTAGAAATAAGCTACATACAATGAAAGAAAGATACAGGACAGGACGGAAAGGATATCAAAAAATTAAGCACGAGTGGGTGAACGGTGCAGAGGCCATATGTTAGCCAATGCAATCAATCGATATTTCAAAAGCGGCTATAGGGGAATGAAAAAAAGACCGACTTCCTTCTTAGATGAACGAAGATCAAGAAGAGAAGAATCAAAAAAGATGGTTAGCCAAATTTAGAAAAGGCATCGAAGTTTATTCAACCAAAGATAGAGAAAGAATCCGACGTCTTAATGCCTTACCTCTACCCCTAGAGTTCCAGACGGACTGGATATTTAAGACGATATACCCGGACCCGTTCTCTTAGGCAACCCTTTGCCCACCAAATCCTTGAAATCAACTCCAACCTCCAATAACAAAATGACATGATCATGCACAGTCTCCATGCACCCTTGCCAAACGGAGCTTTCGGGTTCAACGCTGCTCAGCTGTCGGGAAAGAATGGCGTTGAAACCGTCAAGGTGCTGCTTGGCCCATTTTATACAAGCGCTCGTCATGGGCGCAGGAAAGCACTGCTGGTAGATGGCAATGGTGTTTTTGATTAGCGTGAAGTAGATGTAAGATACCTGGAAAATGTACAGGCGCAGGTCACCTTCGAAGACACATTGGCTGGATAATAGTTAGCCGAAAAAATTCTCATGTATTGGGAAGCGAGAAGAAATATACCGGGCATGCTTCGTGATTACTTCTGTCCTAGTGTGTAAAAAAACTTCTCGTGCTCTATCGTCAAAACCTAGACGGGAAAGCCAGCTAACCTTTGTTTTGGTCGCTGTGAGGAACGAATTGGTGTCCACCAAAGCTCGCAGTATAGTCTCCGCCAGCTTGGTGGCTCGTTCGTCAATCCTGGAGAGGATGATATCCTGCGCTGTCAGGTTTCCCTTTAAGCTCTTTGCGAGCTTTCGCAGTTGTTCCACCCGTGACACTGCGTCGTCGAAACGTTGGAGCGCGGTATCAATATCGAGTTCGTCCAATTGGCCCTCGACCCATCTCATATTTTGCTGTTTCCCGTCGACGTCGATGAGGATATCGAGCTTATCGCGGAATACGTTCCTGTCAAAGATTTGGGAACTTCTGGATAGAGATAGGTTACTACTCGAGGTGTCTGGAGCCTTGGCGTTGAATTCGGTTTCTGTGCGCATGATCTTCCGCAGATCCTCGAGTGTTTTGCGGAAAGTCATCAGAAGGTCGTTTTTAGGTGCGCCAATCCGATGATCGCTGCGATAGGTGAACGACTTTTGGCCATACCGGATATTGATAGCGTTCGGAATTCCACTGCCTTCCACATCTGGGCCCACGCCGTTCGGGCCTAGGTTGGACGCAAGGTCAATCATGTCGATGTCTTGTAATGGCCAGCATTCCTCCGCAACTAGTTTTGTTGGAACAGGACCTTTCATATTATGGGTATTCGGATCAACTCGTTTCCTTTTTTTGGCGGCCACAAGGAGATGATCGTTGAGGAGGACAAGATGGACAGGCCGTTTTGGTTTCCATGTTGCCGAGTCCAGTTCAACCCACTGGCCTGTTTCGAGTACAATATGGCGGCCGGGTATGGCGGGCAGGAATTTTTGGGATCTCTCCACAGTTTTCCATAGGGTTTGAAGCTGTACGTTCCACATGTTTTCGAGGTTGGCAACGGAGCTTCGATTTGTATGTCTTTTCGCGGGAGAGGCCTCATCGAATCCTGGGGAAATAGAATTTGTGCCATTTGTAGCGTTTGCCTGGCCCAGAGCGGCAGTAAGTTCGGACATGAGGTCCCGAAGCGTGTTCATCTCCCCCTTCAGTTTCTCGGCCTCCTTACTGATTTTTATAAATTGGGTCCGATTCCGATAGACATTTTGTTGTAGATCAGTAGACGTTCTGTTCTTGAGTTTCAACAGCTGGTTCTGATACTCCCATATTTCCTGTTCGGATGCATTTGCCAAAAGAGTGGTGACATCTGGCTCAATTAGCGGTGGTTTTTAGAATTTCAATTGCCTACAGACAAGAATGAATGTAGGTTCTTGCAGACTGAACATACATTTTTCCACTGGCAGAGTGGGATCCCTCAAAGTATTCAGGTCGACACGGAGGGGTTCACCTGGGCCGGGAAGAGGCTCCTTGCCCGTTGCAGACCATTGCTGTTGTGCGGCTCTATCAAAGGCGCAGCGCCAGGGGGTAGGCTGGGAATATCAGGGATATCCGCAAAGTTGGGCAGGTGATTGTACCTGGTGGAGTACCTCCTTTTGACGAGATCAGATGTGGCACCGCTTGATTGTGTTTTTCGTGGGGAAGAGCCGACTGTCGCAATACCCGCGGGAGCAGGTCTACCGCCGCCTGCGGCGGAGCGAGAGTCGGAGATGGGTTTGGGAGCGCTGATCTGAGGCCTGGTAGGGAATTTACTCCGCAGAGTCAAACCCCTTCCCTCCATACTCTTATATCATCAAAACCAAGTATTTAGGTGTAGTTTGTTATTAGTTTGTAAAAGGAGTTGAGTTTTTGGGTGTTGGATGTTGATGTTGGGTTGGACCGGGCTTAATAAGCACCGGCTTAGTCATGCTTGGTTCGCTCTCCCAAAAATATTTATGTAGAGACAAGTAAAACGTCAAATAGCAACGACAACAACGGAGAAATAAAGAGAACATAAGTACTTCTCTTTATCTTTTAGCCATCTGCTTAACCACCTGTATAACATCCCTGCTGCCAATTGCGGATTGCAACCTCTGATCCCTGATCTCTGACCTCAAACCGCTACTGTTCCCGTTTTCTCAACTGGTTTGTCTTATACGTAGACATCATCCGCCCGGATATCCTATAAGGACTCACAACTCCAAAATATGAAGACGACCACTATAATTGCTGCCTCAGCAGGAACTATTCTGACTGGTTTTCTTGGTATGATGCATCTCTCTCTTAACCATTGATATTTGCAGTTATACAGTTCCCGCGTTCACCAGAGGTTGGCGGAGGAGCAGTGTACCAGTCGAGTGGTTTATACATATCAGCCTACTAACAAATCCCATGTGTCCTCCAGCTTATGCCATCTACTTCGACTATAAACGGCATTCGGATGCGGAATTCCGACGGAATCTTAAGCGAGATAACCGACGACTGGCCAGAGTAGTCCGCGAACAATCAGAAGCCAAAGGCGCACAGCAAATAGCTGAGATTAAACAAGCTTTGCAGGAGGCAAAGGAAGAGGGCTTCCCCTCAGATCCAGAAGATAAGGAGGCATTCTTCATGGGCCAGATTTCTAAGGGAGAGCAATTAGCCGCTCAAGGTATGGTTTTTTTCTTCTTCTGATATTTTACACACAAGCATCTGTGAGATAATGAAATTCCCCTTTCTCACGGTGGATAAAACAAAATTCAGGAACGAGTAACCTCGAAGCAGCGCTTGCATTCTACAAGGCGCTAAAGGTGTACCCGCAACCCAAGGACCTCATTGCCATTTACGACAACACTGTACCCAAGGACGTGCTTGAAATCCTGGCTGAAATGGTGGGCCAGGACACATCGCTGCAATTGGGCTCTTTCACCAGCGGTGGTAGCGGGTCGGATTATCATGGGGTGGAATAAATAAGGGACGGATGTCAATACCAAAATCGATCCTTTTGATATGAATAAAATTATACTTTGGATGGACTCTGTCTCAAACAGAGGGGTATCCTTTTTTTTTTTTTTTCATTCTTTCCTCTCGACTCGGATTTCCACATTATCGCAAAATAACGATGGGTTTGTTTGTTTTTATTTATTTACTTTTCTGCTTTCATTCTTGGCGGGGAGAACTCATGTATTTTTCTTTTCCCCTTTTCAAGTTCCCTTTATACGACTATATTCCTTTGGTCGATTCCACTAGTTTCCTTTCGGCCTGACCTCTCCTGTCTTCCCCATAAACTGTATATTTGTTTCTTGTCTGTATTCTACAGTATATCCCAAAACACCCGCCACACACCGTACACTTTGCATCTGGCACTGGTCTTTGGGGCAACGGGGTGAACCACTTTATATTTTCGCTATTCTCTTTTTGTTTTCTGGTCGGGGTTACAAAACTACTACCTTCTGCTGTCTCCCAAAGTTACCAGGGCTCTGCTCTTCGGTCTTTTGCGTGTTGTCTTGCAATTTCCCCTTCTCCATCATCCTCCAATTGAGGGTGAGAGAAAGGAGAAGGGTGGATTGTTCAGCTATATTTTAATGACATTTACATGTTTAGACGGGATGTGAAGCGGCATTGGTTCATTGGTTGTATTATTATTTCAGCTGAATCGCAACCTATCCCCATGGATGCGGGCCCCTTAGTTGAAGTGCGCAGGGTTACATACCAAATACCTACTCACCCCTTAACTAGCTAACTGGCTGGGAGACTTTCTGTTCCATTATCTGTTTGAGTTCTGGAAGTATCTAACTATTCTTTTCCAACAAACGACGATATAACTGAGAACTAAGTCCTAAGCTGAAACCCTGGACACACGGACACCGGACACTTGGTCGCCACAGCCAGCAGAATCGAAACGAGCCAAGGACCCAAGACTCTTGGACAGTCCGCGAAAAAGAAAGAGAAGAGAAAAGAGGGGGAAAAAGAGAGAGAGAAGAAGAGAGAAAAAGGAGGGGGGAGGGGGGGGGGGGGGGGGGATATTACAATATTTAACAACGCTGTATTAAGGAGTTAAAGCTAAAGATTGAACATGAAATGGTAACTATATATTGAAATGTGATAACCTTCCTCTTGTAATTCTCATTTCCTTAATCCGTCCCTTTATTCAAATATCCACATCTTTGTATTTTCACGAAGGAAGGTTGTTTCCCATAGTTAACTAACTATGGCAGAGAAAACCAGCTCCACTGTACCACTTCCTTGACTCCTAGTTAACTAACCTCACTAGTTAACTGCTTGGGTGACCAGTTTTGCTCCGGATTCAGCTAATTGCTTAACTTGTTAATTAGTTACCTGCTGCAGCCAGGGTTCAACAGACGAATAAACCACGAACGTCTTCGATCTCAAAACTCTTCAACTCTTCTCTTCTTCAACTCTCTTGTCGTTCATTTTCTTCTGTTTTGATAGCCTCCCTCCACATTGCCCATGACAGCAACAAGTGTCGCTTATCATATCTTTCACTCCACCAGCTAGTTAACTAAATAACTATCATGACTCTCGTATGTGGTCTGCAACTGATTGACTGGCAGTCAGTCAGGCACTGACATCCGCATGAGAGTCTGCTAATATTTAATCCGCTTTTTGGGTCTCTGCAGCTTCGATCCTTTACGGTGCTCTTTGCCCTGGTGGCATCCACTGTTCACGCCGTTACCCCCATCAGCATCGAAGGCTCTCAGTTCGTCAACCCTGTCTCCAAAAAGCGTTTCCAGATCATTGGCGTCGAGTAAGCAATCCATCGTTGGAGTTAATCCCGCCCTTCCCCCGCATGCCCCTTTTACCCCTGGGATTCACTGGTTGACTGACAAGATCGTTGTAACTTTACAGTTACCAGCCAGGCGGAGCTGCTGGTTACAAGGAAAAGGGTGGAGCTGATCCACTCAGTGACGGCGATATCTGTCTGCGTGATGCTGCTCTGCTCCAGCGATTGGGTGTTTGTCTCCCCGTATTTCCAATATCTAGTTGTTATATATTTATTGATCAATCTAATGTCTATGTCTATGTCTATTTTCTAATTAAAAATGCCACCCAGGTCAACACCATTCGCATCTACAACCTCAACCCCGCTACTAACCATGACCTCTGCGTCTCTATCTTCAATGCTGCCGGCATCTATCTAATTCTCGATGTCAATTCGCCCATAGCCCATCAGAGTTTGAACCGTGCCGACCCAGCCTCCACATACCACAAAGGCTACATGGAACGCGTCTTCGGTATTGTGGAAGCTTTCAAGGACTATCCCAATACCCTGGCTTTCTTTGGTGGAAATGAAGTCATCAACGAAGATGCTGTCAAGGAGGTTCCTGCATATATTCGCGTAAGTTTGTTATATATCCCCGTGGATTTTTCCTTCCCTCCCCCCCAAACAATACGATCCTTAGGGAATTATTTGTTTGTTTATTAAATTCAACATTAACCTGTCTCTGTCTACCTCCTTAGGCTGTCCAACGTGATATTAAGGAGTACATCTCCAAACATGCTCCTCGCAGCATTCCTGTTGGCTATTCCGCTGCCGATATTCGTAACATCCTGGCGGATACCTGGGCATACATGTCTTGCCAGATTGATGACTCTGACATATCCCTCTCTGACTTCTTCGGTCTCAACTCCTACTCTTGGTGCGGAGATGCCTCCTTCACCACCAGTGGATATGACAAACTTGTCGAGCAATTCGCCGAGACTTCCCTCCCCGTCTTCTTCTCCGAGTATGGCTGCAATAAAGTCCAGCCCCGCATATTCACCGAAGTGGGTGCTCTATATGGAAAGGAAATGACAAAGGTCATGGGGGGCGGTCTGCTCTATGAATACTCCCAAGAATCCAACGACTTCGGTCTCGTTCAACTGCACCCCAATAACACCGCCACTATCCTTGTTGACTACGACAACCTGATGGATCAGTACAGGAAAGTCGACCTTTCCCTCCTCGAATCTCTTGACCCAGCAGCGACCAGCATCAAACCTCCCAAATGCTCTCCTGACCTCATCAAGGACACCAAACACTTCGAGAACGACTTCAAAATTCCAAAAGCTCCAGAAGAGGTCCCTGAGATGATCAAGAATGGCATCAAAAACCCTAACAAGGGCAATCTCGTCGAAGTCAAAAACACTAAGGTCAAATTCGAGGTGTATAACAAGGACGGTGTAATCTTGGAAAACCTGTCCATCAAAGTTCTCCAAGACTTCCAGTCAAACCTTCCAGGCGAGAAGACCTCTGGCGCACCCGGTGCCGTAAAAGAGAAGAAGAAGGGCGCTGCTAGCACCCTGTCCACCTCCAATGCTCTCTCTATCCTTGCTGCTGTGGTTGGATTGACTCTGCTTATGGTATAGAGGACGACATGAATATTCTTCTTTGCCCCTTTCCTCCTTTTTCCTCTACGCGATTCTCCAGCTGTATTAGTCAATTCAGTTTCTCTTCTATTCCTCTCATTTCATATATTCCCCTATGGGCCACTTTTCTTTGACCCCAATTGCTCCCTGCATGTATTATCTCCGAATTTTCCCATAAGGTAACTAGGTAAGGATGCATTGGTATAACCGATGGCTGGAAAGATCGGTATGTTTTGTTCCCTGCAGTTTGAACAAAACGTAAAGGTGTCATTTCACGATATCCCATCCCTCCCTGACCGTCCGACTTTAATAACTCGAACGAAGACTCCCATGACTTGTTCATTAGCGTATAGAGGCTAGTTGAACATGTCTCTAGCAATTGTATTTTTTCTTTCCCTCTTTTTTATACACTTCAAAGACATGGTTAAATTTAGTGAAATCTGTAGGCTCATTTGCCTTCGTTTCGTTCGGAACCTTGGCATGGCGAGGTCCCAGGACAAAATAGTAGTAGGGAGTTTGATGTTCACGTTAATATTTTATAAATCGATCTGCAGCAATGATGGAAATAAGTTTTTACTCCGGTTGACACACCCCTGAATTTGATGCAACAAACCAACAACACCCAGAAATACATAGAAGTTGAAAAAATATTAGGATGGGAGAAGCAACAGGATATAATTCAATTACAAATTGTTGAGAAGCGTGCAGGATTATGTATTAAATCAGAAAACTAGGAGTTTTACTCAAAGATCAAAATGACGAAACGTCCGCTTCAACCCTCATATACTTGGGAATCGAGCAGTAATGGAAGATAGAAAGGAAAATAAGCAGAAAGGAAATACAATGAAACACAATAAAACACAATAAAAACGAGTTAAACTGGACAACAAAACACACCCACCACATATTACAGTGTGCTGGCTTTCCCCTTGCCTTTACTAGGCAATGCTACGTCTGTTTCCGTTTCAGAAGCGGGGAAGTCTCCCTCCTCACCCCAAGAAGCAGAAACAGAGCCAGAGTCAGTATAACCATTCCCTTCACGACCCTCTTGGTCAGCAAGACTCAGCTGAATGGCAAATTCCAAATCGCCAAGCTCCCGTTCCATAGTGCTTTCGTCATTTCCTGGGGAAGGGTAGGAGCTAGATATACTGTTCCCAGACGAGCTCATGAATTTGAATGGAGCATTGGATGACGACGCAAAAGATTCGTCGAGAAGGCTAAAACGAATCGCTTCAGCAATATCAGGATCTAACTCTTCAGCAACGGTTTCGAAACTAGGCGACGAAGAGGTCGTAAAGGCCAAGGTTGCGTCTGGGTTTGAGTTTGAGTCAAACTTCTCGTTTGGAGTTATAGTTTCACTCGAAGAACTACTTTCCACACCACCCTCGTTACCCTTCCTCTTGCGTTCATCACTCGTATACGACTCCTCGCTCAGCATTTGCCCATAAGCAATTAAGTCCTCTTCAGTAGCATCGGGTCCCAGAAGGTCTACACCAAACCGGCCGCTCAAAAGCTCTCTTTCCTTTTGGTCAGCTTTCTTTTGTTGCTCTAGCTCGTATCTTTCACTTTCAATGTAGTCCTGTAGCGCTCCCCTGCCGCTACTTGTAAATCGCTGGGTGACAGAGGAAGAGTTATGTCCTCGACGTGAATAGCGTAGTCGACGTTTGGTGCTCTTGTATTGATCGGCTGCTGATGAGCTGTATGACCAGTAGCGAAGATGGCTCCCAAGAGAGACTATGCCGCGCAGCACTGTTGGGTCAGGATCCAAATAAATCGCACCTGCAGCAAAAGAGTTGTGGCCCACCCCTTGCGTTGATGTCTCGGCTTGGACAAGACGGCGGCGAGCTCCCGATGAAAAACGAGAGTTGAGCGTGCGGATCGGTTGCATGGACGAGGCGAGCGGGTCCCAGGCTTGAACTAAGCCATCGCTCCCACCATGGACGAGATACAGAGATGTCAGAGCAACACAAGATACCTGTGGGGAATCCGTCTGGATAATTCGAATCGGTGAAATCTTGTTTGTGATATCTGGCATCTGAGAAGCTGCTGCTCTTATATTCCAAACATAAAGTGACCCCGTGGAGGTACCAATAGCCATATAGCAAGCGCGTTCTCCCGGAATATCTGCTGGAGACGATACTTGGCTCGACTGCGTTTGAGGAAAAGATAATTTAGATGAGATCGCGGAACCTCCACACATGCCAAGTAGAGGATCTTCAAACGTAGTCAATTGCGCAAAAGTCGATTTATCCATGGCGCTAGTGGTGATTTGAGGAGGCTTATGCTCATCGAAAACAAAATCCGACATTCGCCACTGAGTAGTAACGGGGGCATCCATTCCCGAAAACGATTCGGAATTCCGTGACGGAGTCGAAAACACTGATGAACTGGAGGTCGACCTGCCACCAAAAATTGATCGGGTTTGAGGCCGAGGTATGGAAGGGTCCGCCTCGTCAGACAACTGAGAAGTAGGAGCAGGCCCTTTCAGCCGCAAGTATCTTCGAATAGAGGAGGTCCGGTTTTCTCCAAACCCGCAGTCGAGGATAACAACGGACTCTCCAGAATTACGATAATTGTCGCCAGCAAAGTCAACCTCCAACCTTCGTCTCATGTCCCAACCTTCGCACACCTTTCTGAAATGTTTTGGTTTAAATGTAAGAAAGTTCTCTATCTCTTTTGTTTCCGCATAGATTTGATCTGAGATCAGTCCCATGAAATTCGAGGAGGATCTTGGACTGTAGCTACCATCCGCCATAAGTCTATTAAAAGGATCGGGTCGTGCAACTCGCCGGGAAGGTTCAATAAGTTCCCAACGCACGGTTCTTCCAGTCTCCCAAGCCAAACGCTCAAGAGTTTCTGTGCTGGACTTGGGTTTCAACGCTGGCTGATGTGGAATATCCGTCAAGTAAAACGCTTCCCCTAGGGCATTTAAGATAACAGCCCAAATTCGTTGCTGAGTGTAGCGCCTGGCAGAATAATTTTCATCCACGTTGATCGCTATTATAGGAACTCCGGGACACAGAACCCATTTGGCAGTTACCTGGCCACGTTCGAACCGCTGATCGTATGAAGGGTTTGGTCCTAAAGCATATGCAGTCAGGATGCCCAATGAGGAACCGCAAAGAATGCCACATAGGCCATTTGTTATCTTGAGTATTTGGGGGGATTTGGCTATCCAGACAGAGCAGATCGCAGTGCCGATTGTGCTGATACTGGGGATCCCGAGATGGGGTTGAGGAGTGACGTCTTCTCCAGACAAAAAACGACCATGCTTTTCATTTGACGGTAAATAATAGATTCTACCCTGTGGGCAGGCTTCTCCGTACACCATTCCATAGGGCTGGCTTACATCCATAACATTGGGCATCCCAACCATGTTACCAGGTCCCAGACCCCACCCCGCTTCTCCTGGGAAAATATCTGAAAAGTGTTTAAAAATTTGACGACTGGATAGACCCCAGGAGCCAATTCCAGTTTTTCCAGAGCTAGGATCACTCATAGAAGCAACGCCTTGTTCGGCTGCACCATGGATACAGAGAGGAGGCTTATTGTTCAGCGGTGATCCGAAAGTTGCGTCAACATGGGTAATGGGATACATGCACATCGAGCTGTACGTAAATACAGATCTCGAATTCTGAGCGGGCTGCTGTCTCGGTGAGCCAAGCTGTAGAGAGGATTTTAATTCTGCAGGTTTGCCCCGAGAAAGAGCTTGCAGCAGTCTGGTTCTGAAAATGTACTCATTTCGCCAAGATGCTAGAGCTGTCAATCGGCAAAAGGCACGCCTCTGTGCCAAAATAAGCTCGTAGTCATCCGTATTTCTATCCGCACTCAGGCTTGCTGGACCTCGAAAATAGCGTGAAAATGCGATTCTCCAGGCATGGGGGGTGGTAACGAGGTTGTGGAATCGGCGACTAACAAGGCTCATTGATGACAGCGACGAAGGTGGAAGGTGAGACAAGATATGGGTCAGAACCTCTGCAATTAGTTAGAGTGGGATACACTCGCTTTACCCGCCGAAAAGGCACCGGGACGCTTAGATATTACGTATGTAGATATGCATATATCATCTCCATATGAACGTACCATTAGGGAACTGGTCCAGAGTTTGACCACTGATTCCATTATTCCTAGAAGGGAAGACTCTGAATTCGAACTCTTTAGCCCTCCTCGAAGGTGGATTGAAGGCATTCTCATGATTGATGATGCGATCTACAGGAGACACAGACTTCACTGGCCCGGTGGGGCTCGGCTGTCGCGAAATTTGGTTTGGTAGAGGTGTTGGGCCAGCGCCATCAGATGCGTCTGCAGGGCTGGGATTGCAACTTCCGTCCCAGCTACTCTCATGAGAGAAATAGTTCTGGAGGATTTCATCATGCTGTCGAAGTCCATATTGGGTAGAATTGGGCTGAGATAGGGGAGACTGGCTTTCGTTGGTTGCAGGGAGAAAAGTTCGGGAGGGCTCTGGGTGCATAAAAAGGTGGGAAAAGAAGAGGGAGAAAGTATAGGACTAAGCCAGAAGGTTCTGGATCAGCCAATATCGACGCGTTAAGAGAGAATGCCTTGGGCGTGTGCTTGAATCGTGCGTATTCTGGGATATGTGTGTATATGGTTGTTGAAGAGGGGAAAGAGAACACCATGGAGATGGGCTTCAATCCATTTACTAACTAACTAACTAGTTAGTTATAGTTAGTCAAGGGTTGATGAGTAAGCAGTGCGACCGACACGGTAGTTACACGTGACCACACGTTTCCGTACGTGAAACTTCTTTAACGCAGGTAGAGTAGAGACGACACCACGATACCACTAGGCAAGATATGTTAGTTAATATATAAAGAAAACATGTCAGACTGCTTCTCGTTCCTTGTCTCTGATATGCTTCTGGGGTGCCGATATTGCCATTATTTACAGATTTGGCCCATTCTCAACATGGATGGCCCAAGGAATTGAATCCCCGTTGTTCAGGCAGCGAGCGAGATCGGACTAGGTTGCCTCCAAGGAACCTCTAGACTCGCCCATACATACAGTAATACCTGGTGGACGGGCATATATATATTATTGGGTCACATACTTGTTCGTAGTAGCAAAAATTCGAAACTCTCCCATTTCCCTTAACTTTATTTCCAATCTAACAATGCCTGCTTTCACTGGTAAGACATTCATTTAATATCGATATTCCTTTACCACCGCAGCATTTAACTACGTCGCACGACTGTGCAGCTGACAAAGATACAAAAATGCAAAATTAGCTGCGGATACAATCCGTATCCTAGTCTCAACAGATAACCATGTCGGATACAATGAGCGCGACCCTGTTCGTGGGGACGATAGCTGGAAGAGCTTCCATGAAGTTATGTGTTTGGCCAAAGAGCGTGACATTGATATGGTGCTCCTAGCCGGTGATCTTTTTCATGAGAACAAACCATCTCGGAAATCCATGTATCAGGTCATGCGATCGCTACGGATGAACTGTTATGGCGACAAGCCTTGCGAACTGGAGATGCTAAGCGATGCAAGCGAAAATTTCCAGGGCGCTTTCAATCACGTCAACTATGAGGATATGGATATCAATGTTGCTATCCCCGTGTTCTCTATCCACGGGAACCACGATGACCCATCTGGCGAGGGTCATCTTGCCGCCCTTGATATCCTACAGGTTTCTGGTCTTGTTAACTACTACGGTCGTACTCCAGAATCAGACAATATCCAAGTGAAGCCCATCCTCCTCCAAAAAGGCCGAACAAAGTTGGCACTGTACGGCATGAGCAACGTAAGAGATGAACGGCTTTTTAGAACTTTCCGAGACGGGAAAGTGAAGTTCTTCCAGCCTTCGCTCCAGAAGTCCGACTGGTTCAATCTAATGTGCGTACACCAAAATCATCACGCACATACAGAAACAGGCTATCTGCCTGAAAACTTCTTGCCCGATTTCCTTGACCTTGTTATTTGGGGCCATGAACATGAATGTCTCATCGAACCTCGTTTGAATCCTGAAACAAATTTCCATGTTATGCAGCCAGGTTCCTCGGTTGCTACGTCGCTTGTTCCTGGGGAAGCAGTATCTAAACAAGTGGCTATCCTCAGTATTACAGGTCGTGAATTCAAAACTGAACCAATTCGGCTAAAAACAGTCCGCCCTTTCGTCACGCGGGAGATCGTCCTCCATGAAGAAAAAGAGGCACGAAGACTCGGGAGGAAGGAAAACAACCGGACAGAACTGACACGTTTCCTAATGGGTATCGTCGAAGAGCTGATCGAAGAGGCAAAAAAAGAGTGGATCGAGGCACAAGATGACCCAGATAATGAAGAACTTGAGATCCCCCTACCTCTCGTTCGGTTGAGAGTGGAAGTTTCGTCACCTGATGGGGGCAGCTTTGACTGCGAAAATCCTCAACGGTTTTCGAATCGATTTATTGGCAAAGTTGCCAATGTCAATGATGTTGTCCAGTTTTATCGTAAGAAGAAGACTGTCACAGGACTCCGACGCGGTGAGACAGACGCTCCAGACGAGGGGGTCATTTCGCATCTCTCTTCACTTGATTCAGTCAAGGTAGAAAAGCTGGTTCGCGAGTTCTTAATGGCACAGTCCCTGACTATTCTCCCCCAAAATTCGTTTGGGGATGCTGTATCCCAGTTCGTTGACAAAGACGACAAACACGCGATGGAAATGTTTGTGAATGAGTCCCTGGAGAGCCAAATCAAGCACTTATTAGCCCTCGACCAAGAGCAGGATGAAGATGACATGGATTATGGCTACGGAGAGGGGCAAAGTAAGATTCAAGTTGCCATGGACAAATACCGAGCTCAGCTAGAAGAAATGTTCGCAAAAGGTAGCCAAAGACGCGCTCGCGGGGCAAGAAGGTTCAAACCGAAACCTGATGGTTGGGACAGCGAGTTTGACGGACCTTGGGAAGACCAGCCTGGTGCACTCATTCATTCAGATAACGAAGCCGAGGACAATCAGCAACAGGGCGCTCCTCCCCGGAGAGGGGCGTCCGCAACAGGCAGAACCAGAGGTCGAGGAGGCAGCACGGCAAAGTCTCCTCCTGCACGAGCTACAAATCCACGAAAAGCAACCATCCCCACTGCCCGTACCAGCATAAGTACCCGCGGCCGTCGCCGTCAAACAGCGTTGTCGGATGACGACGACGACGATGAGGATGACGATGAGCAGCAGCAAGAAGATCCAATTCCGCTAGACAACATCAGTGAAGATGACGAGGGTGATTCTGACTCCCTATTTGTCAGACAAACCCGTGCGCAGCAGCCCATGCGAAGACGAACCTCTTCAACTTCCACCGCCACCACTAAAACAACAACTAGAAAAGCTCACTCTCGCAGCTCCGCAGCTACAGGGTCAAAGAAGTCCCAATCAACACACTCTTTTGCGCGCTCACAGGCAAGCCAGAGCCAGACGCTAGGCGGTACAGGCGCAGCCACAGGCACAAGTTTTTTGGTTGGCAAAAGGCCGAGTCGTGCCGCGGCCAGCCGCGCCACGCGAAGTGCCAGTGTGCTAAGTGACGATATTGAAAATGATGATGATGATGACGACGATGCGTTTGATCCTGCGCCACCTGTTAGCAGTTTACGCAGCTCGAGAAGGAGATAACCATGCCACACCCTGCATTTGTATGAATGGAATATTTCGAGTGTAGGATGTCAAATCTGTACCCGATGCAAAATTACATGACATGACATATGAGATTCTCATTCTACACATAGCCACATGAATATATCAACACAATATCTAATTAGACAACTAAACCTATCACCCTCACAACTTTCCCCTCGCCAAAAACTTCACAGGAATATCCACCCACCTCGCCCGCAAATACTCCGCAACATTCTTTCCCAAAAAGTCCACCGTCTTCGTCACCGCAACCCCGCGATCCAACAAGTTGCGGAACAAGAAATGAACCCCGCGCATCGCAGGCAGCTCGAGACGTTCAATGCTCATCGTCCGGTCCTCCCGCCACTCTCCTCCCAGCAGTTCCTTAGCCTTCTCTGTCGACAGCAGCGTCCGTAGCCACTCATACTCATCTTGGTGCCGCACCCAGAAGCCGCAGTTCGCGTCGGAACCCTTGTCACCAGAGCGAGCGTGCGCAATCCAGCCCAGTGGACCACGTGTGGTCGGTCCAAAATCTGTTGAAAGATTGGCTGGGCTGGCTGTTGTGGGTTGCGAAGGTTGCGGGTAGGGCCAGACCTTTGATTCGGGCGGGGGCGCTATGTCGATGGTTTTATTGAGCCAGGGGAGGTGTGCTTGATGCTGCACGTCCGTTTGCGGGATAAGCGTGACATAGTATTCAAACACGGGTTTTGGGAAGCCCTGACGCACGTCCAAATCGAAGGTGGCTCCCGGGTAACCCTGCATGATATTGTCTAAGAGAAGCTTTAGGAACCTGGGCGGGGCCAAGTGATCTTCTTCCCGCGCCTGGGCGAGTATGCGCATAGTCGCTGTCGCGCTGTTCTGGTCTTTCGGATCATCCGGCGCTCTACCTAGGACCGTGAAATCGAGCACGGTGAAGTTCTTCGAGTGCGGCGCGAGAAGACGGCGGATCTGTGCTTCCAGCATGCGCGCTTTTGCGGGGATGTCGAGACCGACCATGAAATAGGATACTTGGGCCTGATACCCACACCGCGCAGTTAGGCCTACCTTTGTTGTTGGTGGTGGCAGCGCAGATTTGACACCGTGCAAGGCGACACGGTTCGTTCCCAGCTGTTCGAAGTACACGCCGTCCAGAATTGCGGTGACGTCTGAGTTGAAATACCAAGGCCCCTGGATCTCATATAGCAGCTGTGACGAGCAGGTATCAACGGTCACGGCTCCCCCACTAGAATCAGATTGTTTTGTTATAACGACTTCCCCACCAGCTGAGATTTCCGCGATTGGATAACCGATGTTAGACCAGCCATCTCCAGCAGCATTCTCAAGCGACTTGAACCCTGTAAAATTTCCACCGCAGACATAGTTGCTACACTCGATCAGATGGCCAGCTACAAATGCATTGGCCAATTTATCCAACTCATGCCGTCCCCAGTTATGCCACCAGTATGCCGCGCCGATAACCGGTGAAGCGTCAGATACGCGGCCGCATATGACAATGTCTGCACCGTTGGCCAAAGCTGCAGCGATGCCCAGGCCACCCAGGTATGCTTGTGCGTATATTGGTTCAAAAGACCAATCCGCGAGCAACTCGCCAGTGTATATACTTTTAAAAGGGGAGGAGCCAGACGCAAGGGATTTTCGGATGGTGGGGAGAACTTCGTCGCCGGATATCCACGCTACCTATTTTATTTTTCTTGAGTCCAATCACGTATAAATCAGAGAGGTAGGTAGAGAAGAAAAAAAAAATAATAACCTTCAACGCCAACCCCTTCTTCCTAACTAACCCTTCGACAACTTCATACAGCGCCGGTGTATCCGCCACGCCGGCGTTGACAGCGACTTTAATGCCGTACCGGGCTAGATCTTCCAGTGCTGGCTCTAGTGCCCCGAGAAACGACGGATCGTATGCGGGTATTTTGCTATCACCGCCACCATCCACACGTTTACCCGCTGCAGTGGCCATGTTGTATTCGCTCATGTAGTCGGAGATGATGACGTCGATGGGGTCCTGTGGGTGGTTCCGGGCGAAGGTTGCCATTGCATGACGGCGGTCGGAAGCCGAGCCGGAGGCGCCTGGAGGGTTAGTTGGGAATTGAGGACGCAAGGTGTTTATTTGCACACGTATGGATTAAGAGGACGTACCGGCTATGCGAATGGGACGGGTTCTGGAAGACATGTCGGGGTCTGGCAGTTGATGAAGGAACGGTTTACATGTATGGAACGTTGTGTGCTAAATTGTTAGGTGATATGATAGATGGGTCAATTCCATATAGATTTATAAATAACATTTAGATGCCAGATTGAATTGTGCTGAGAAAATATTCATTATAAGGCGCTGGTAGACTGATCATTGCAGTTTCTACGAGGTTGCTTTTAGTTGGGCTATTTTTGTAAGGTATATTGAATATTGGATTAATATTATTATTATTATTATTATTATTATTATTATTATTATTATTATTATTATTATTATTATTATTATTATTATTTAACTACGTGGACTTGAAGAATGCCGAGAGAGCATCTCGGTCCTCGGCATGGTTGGAGGTTGGAGGGAGGGAGGGGTAGAGGAAAATAATAAGAATGACCACGAGGATGTCCTGCTACTTCTATCCTATGGGGGGAATAACTAACTACGTCCCGGACTCTGAATACTATTTATGTACCCCACAAAGGTCATTACGTATGAGATGGGTGTCAATGATGTCAGTGAGACATAACTATATACATGTTGGAGGATATTGGGACAAGTGTAACCAAGATGTATATATATATGTATCTTAAGTAACTTTATATGTTCATTCGTTGATTGCAGTTAACTAGTTATGGTTAGTTAATCGTCACCGTCACCTCACTACAGCACTACAGTAACTAGTTACCTACAGAGATAAACCTTTCAACACAACAGTTGTAATTATAACGGAAAACAACATGACAGCCACCAACTCGGTCGCCCTCCGATATCTACAGAGCCAGATACGCAGATCGACGAGCAACATCTGGACCGGGTTCCCCTTGGCCCGATCACGCATGGCGACTCTCAGGCCGGGTAAGCCATCGATGCTGTGTGAGTTCATCTCAGCCTGCCAGGCGTGCAGCTTGTTGGAAGCGATCTTGTTAGCGGTCCACTGGGCCATGGTGTCTCTGTCGCAGAGACATGGTCTTGGGGCATTTGAGTCAGGGTCGGTGGAGAGGGCGAGACGGGGGACGCCATAGCCGCAGGAAGTCTGGACCTGGAAGACGTGCAGGTCGATGATTGCCCTTGTTCCGGGGAAATTGTCCGGGTTGTAGTGCGTGACGTGGGGTTTCATGCGGTCTAGCGTTGGGTGGAATCTGGGGTGATCCCATTCGATGACAGTGCCTGAGCAGCAGAAGAGACGGAGGATGCGGGGGACGGAATCGAAGGAGCAGAACATGATGGTCATGCGGCCATTTTCACGGATGTGGCTGATTGACTCGTTGCCCGAGCCATTGGCATCGAGGTAGGCTATATGGTTTGGGGAGAGGACGGCGAGAGAGGCAGATGGGAGACCCTTTGGGGAGAGATTGATGTGGGCAGCGATGGAGGGGGCAGATGCGACGAAGAAGACGGGCTGGGAGAGGAGCCAAAGTTTGAGATCTTCGGGGATGGAATCAAAGAAGGCGACCATTTTACTGGGTTCAGGGCAGCAGCAGTAGTTATCTAGATTGAATATCATGTGGGGAAGAAGCTTTATCAACTGAGTGAAGGAGTCGGGGAATTATGGGGTGTTAATAAAACATCCTTCAAAATTTTATCTACTATCTATCGATGGCTACGGTTCTACACTCGACAGCATGTGACAAGTTCGACTCCTGTTATTTATCTAGAGGAATGAAACCGAGAAGGAACACATTACATACAGATCAAAAAATTATAAACAAGAATAACAACAGCAACAACAGCAACAATAGTAAAATAGTAAAATAGTAAAATAAAAAAGTCGACCTGCCAGTCCGCCTTGGGCACTGTGCAGCGAGGGGTGTTGTCTGGCGCCGCCATCTCCGGGGGGCCTGTTCTCTGCAGAATCGCTTCCCTCGAGGGTCCAGGCCAGGGCTTAGCGCGCCACAGCAATCGTGGATTACTCGCACGAGTGTGGGGAGGAGACACTCCAACGGCCGACACAGCCGGTTTGTCGGCTCCGTCGACTCTATTGGCCGAGAGTCTCCCGCGACCCGGGGATTCGAACCAGGCACCTCTCGCTGTTTCGGGGTTCGAGACGGCCCCAAAGCCACAGACACGCGGCGGATGCAGCGGGTCTCCCACTTGGACCATCACAGCTGAGGATTATCCACGGTGACCTCTTCGATACAGGATTATTATCATCCACACACTGGATGCTCTCTCTTTTTTCGACATTTTGTTTTTGTTAGTTTTATATTTTTTTTCTGTCACATGTATTATTCCACCCGGTCAGCATTTAGCAGTCGGCTGCGAAAAATTTAAATCCTGTAGTTATATAACGAGTTTAAATAACTATGGCTATGGGTATTCCTCCCTGGGTCAAATGACTCCTTCGGCTGCTTATTTTATCCCCCTAACTGACCCGTATGTGCGGGTTGGCTCAGGACATCCGCTAGACCGCCCGACATTCCCGTGATGCGGCCAGATGCGGGGTTGAGGGACAGAAGGAATGGAAGAAAACGAAAGGGAAAGGAAAGGAAAGGGAAGGGAAAGAGGAAAAAAAAAAAAAAAAGCAAGGGAAAAAGAGTTGCCCAAAGGCCTTCCGAGCTTGATTTCCCAAGCCTGCAAACGGGTGCGCAGCACAATTAGGGAAAAACCCCCCCAAACCAGGGGGTTTTTTTCCCCCCCGGGATTGGCGGGCTGGAAACTACGGGTTTACCCCCCGGGAAAAATTTTTAAAATATTTTTTTAAAAAAACCCCCCCCGGGTTCCCCCCCCTGGGCCCTTTTTCCCCCCCCCCCCCCCCCCCCCCCCCCCCCCAAATCCTCCCCCCGGACAGAGGTCCAGTACCCGCTACCTGTTGGGCCCATGCTGGCTTGGCGGGTCGGGAGGTACCAATGACCTAACCGGTACCTCTCCTTCTTACCCCACTTCCCCCCCGTCTTTCTTTTCTTTTCCCTCTTTTTTCCTTGTTTAATATTCCTTGTTCCTTGGGTTCTTACACCCCAAGCTTCATTGTTTTTCTTCTTCTTCTTCTTCTTCTTCTTCTTCTTCTTCTTCCATTATCTTCTTCTTCTCTTCTTACTCTAGTTCTCCAGTTCTCTGCTCTATCTTCCTGCAGTAACACTGTAACTTCTCCCACCCCGTCAATACATGTCATATACACGCAAACATTATGGCTCTCTTCCAGCAAATCACCACTCCGACCATCACCTATGAGCAGCCTCTCGGCCTGTAAGTGATATCCTCGTCATCAGTTATCATTCTCATTTCCTAATATATGCTACCCCCTCTTCCAGCTTCATCAACAATGAGTTCGTCAAGGGCGTAGAAGGCCGCACCTTCGAATCCATAAACCCCCACAACGAGAAGCCCATTGTTGCTGTTTACGAGGCCACCGAGAAGGATGTCGATATCGCCGTCGCTGCGGCCCGGGCTGCCTTCAAAGGCCCCTGGAAACATGTCACCCCGACTAACCGTGGCCGTATGCTACTCAAGCTGGCAGACCTGATGGAGCAGCACGTCGACACCCTCGCGGCCATCGAGGCCCTCGACAACGGCAAGGCCTACTCCATCGCCAGGATTGACGTTGCGAATGCTGCTGGCTGCATCAGATACTACGGTGGCTGGGCCGACAAGATCCACGGCAAGGTCATCGATACAGACACTGATTCCTTCAATTACACCCGCCACGAGCCCATCGGTGTCTGTGGCCAGATCATCCCCTGGAATTTCCCCTTGCTCATGTGGTCCTGGAAGATCGGTCCCGTCGTCGCCACCGGCAACACCGTCGTCCTCAAGTCCGCGGAGCAGACTCCACTCTCTGCCCTCTATGCTGCAAAACTGGTCGTCGAGGCTGGCTTCCCGCCAGGTGTCATCAACATCATCTCTGGCTTCGGCCGTGTCGCCGGCGCCGCAATCTCCTCCCACATGGACATCGACAAGGTCGCCTTCACCGGCTCCACCCTAGTCGGCCGCCAGATTCTGCAGGCTGCTGCCAAGAGCAACCTGAAGAAAGTTACCCTGGAGCTGGGTGGAAAGAGTCCCAACATCGTCTTCAACGACGCTGACATTGACAACGCCATCTCCTGGGTCAACTTTGGTATCTACTTTAACCACGGCCAGTGCTGCTGTGCCGGGAGCCGTATCCTGGTCGAGGAGGGAATCTATGACACTTTCCTGGAACGCTTCAAGGCCCGTGCCCTGCAGAACAAGGTTGGCGACCCTTTCCACCAGGATACCTTCCAGGGGCCCCAGGTCTCTCAGCTCCAGTTCGACCGCATCATGGGCTACATCCGGGAAGGTAAGGCGGCTGGCGCCAAGGTCGAGATTGGTGGTGAGCGTCTGGGCAATGAGGGCTATTATATCCAGCCAAACCATCTTCAGCAACGTCACCGAGGACATGAAGATCGTCAAGGAAGAGATCTTCGGGCCCGTCTGCTGCGTGCAGAAGTTCAAGAATGAGGATGAAGCTATCTGTATTGCCAATAACACCTCTTATGGTTAGTGTACTCATCCGTCCATCGTTGCGTTGTGTGGGAAGGGTGGAGCGAACGACTCTTTTTTCTTGTTCCTCTTCTTCTGGCTTACTAACCAGTCTAGGCCTTGCTGCTGCTGTCCACACCACGGACTTAAACACTGCCATCCGCGTTTCCAACGAGCTTAAGGCAGGGTAAGTGAAAATGATTTCAAATCAAAACCCCCATCTTCCCCTTGTTTTTAACTTTCAGGAACACAGCTAACAGCGTCAGAACCGTCTGGGTCAACAATTACAACATGCTCTCCTACCAAACTCCCTTCGGTGGCTTCAAGGAGAGCGGTCTCGGGCGGGAATTGGGAGGTAAGCTGCCTGTTCTTGTTTTATGTTTTCTGTTTTTTAATTTTAATTTTAATTTTTATTCTTTTGCGCCCCCGTCTTGTTCTCGAGTGTTGGACAAATACTGACGATTAGGGTGATGTGTTTAGAATATGCCCTTGACAACTATACTCAGGTCAAGGCCGTCCGCATCCGTCTAGGTGACGCTCTCTTCGGTTAAGCATGATTTGCGCTGCTCAGATTCCTTCACGTCTCTAGTCTTTACGGGATCGTTATATTGTATTATTTGGTCAGAGGTTGTTTCACCGTCTTACCGACTTCTCGCCTGCCTATATATCTACTTTATTAATCTCATGAATGTCTGACATATTGCTTCTCTCTGCTCTTTTCTTCAATTTTTTATTTGTTTTCGGAAACCCTTTCGTCCTGAAAACCCCGTCATCACCTTTTCGAGAAAAAGTGGATGGATTGATGGATGGGAGATGCATGGTGGACGCATGAGACCAGATCCAATGTGTTACAAGTAGTCGACCCAGTCTACGTATTTAGCAGTATCGAACAGAATGAAAATTGCACGACTTGGTTTGAATTTGTGTGTTCGTCTTTGAATGAACTCGAGAATGGTATCTCGCAAGGTTGTGGTGCCGCTCAAGCAGAGGAGATAGACAGGCCAAGTACTTAACCACTCCATACAGTTAGTTGAATAGTTAATCTATTAACTTGTTATGAAGTATATTTCCCTGCCCAGCCGTGGAAGCAATGCCTGAGATTAGAATTAGCATGCGGCTGGATTTCGTGCCTAAAATACAGCGGCCAGGAACACTTTATTCTCTATTATGAGTCACCTCGACGGATGTGAGAGAATGAAATAGCAAAATATTGGTAGGATTGGTTAGGGAAAGGAATATTTATTTAGTTGCTCTGTTGAATCTAAGAGGATGAGACATGAGAAATATAAATGCACAAAGAGGGAAACTATCCATGAATGTCAATAGAAACTGAAAATGTTAATACGGAAAATGAGCCACGTCCTTTCGGTATATGTAACTCCTAAATACAAGACATGATGTCAGATGTGTTCAAGTGTTCAATAGATTCTATTAAAGACATGCAACATCACCTGGAGTGCAGGCAAAACATGTCATATACAGAATCTCTCTTAAAACGCTGAGCTGCATGAAAAGTGGATGACATTGTCATGCCCAAACAGAAGCACAATGCCAATGAAACGGCATTGTATGATGTACAGGGAAGAAATAGAGATGGGCTTGAAGGACGTGAGATGAAATGGCAAAGGCGTAACTTCGTCACCTAACAAAGGGAAGAAAAGAGGAGTCAACACAACCAAAATGAAGGAATAAAATCCTACAAAAAATACTCGCTCTTCCCCGGCTTCATATTGGGCACATGTCTCAGATCATCCGGCACCTCCGAAAACAGTTTAAATGTTACCTTAATATCTTCCCCTATCTCACATACTGACGCCATGTTACCGCACCGATAGCAGTAGTTGGGTGCGCTCCAGACCGTTACCACGTTCTGTTTCTGGAAGTGATACTTGTATCCTTCGTTCACGAGTTGGTGTGCCCGCGCTATCAGAGTTAGATCATTCACTTGGCAGAATTCTTCAGCAACTTTGTCACCAAATAGCCAGCCTATGTACGTCGGCGTTAACGTTGACCCAACATAAACTTTAAATTGATGGGGATCAAATCAAAACATACCGGCCCCCCGAGGGCTTACCGCCCATGTCTCCACGTCGTCTGGGTCCGACCAAACCAAGTCGCAGAACGCGCCCTCATGCGGGATCTCTTGGGCTCTAGCGACAACTCGCACCTGGTCCAGAGTTCGAATCTCCGGACTTAAACCGCCATGAACGCAGAGCACCTTCCCATCCACTATCGCCCCGAGTGTCATAAAATCAAACACCTGACAGCACGCTTTCCATACAGAGGCGTTGCCGTATTTCTGAAAACACTCCTCGTAAAACCCATACACCTGCGTGATCTGTCGGGATTCGTGGTTGCCCCGAACAAGCGTAATTCTATCTGGGTATCTGATAAGGTAAAACGTGCGGTGTCAGTTTGAGGAGGGAAGGAGAGATATTGGAATGCAGAAACACACTAACTTGGCCTTCAAACAAAGTAATAAAGTCAATGTTTCCAGACTAAAATATCCTCTATCTACATAGTCACCTAAGAATATAAAATTCCCACTCGGTAAACCGCGCACATGTGACGTATCTTCGGACTTTTGATCTGGGACGGGTGTTGGGGCGCCCCCCCCCTCATCTGCGTCGCCGGTATTTGGTCCGTCAACATTTTGCCTTATTTTCTTTCTTAACTTCGGATTTGTGATCGTGGATGGCGGCTCAAGGTCGTCTGAGGTGATAATTGTGGGTGGGACTCTAGGGGATTCGACATTGCTATCATTCGGCATGCCGCCTGCAACTCGGAACAGCTCAAGGAGGTCGTAAAACTGGCCGTGGATGTCACCGCATATTGTGACTGGAGCAGAAACAGGCTGGATATTCGACTCTATAAACAGGGGGAAATTTTAGTATCATTTTCTTATGTGAGCTCTTCCTAGACGGAAGGAAAATTGCCTATCAAAAAAATATATAAAAATAAAAATAAAAAATTAGAGAGAGAGAATAAACAGGAGAGGTATCAAAAACCTTCCATCATATACTCCTTTACAATCTCGCAGAGCTGCTTCATGTGGTTTTCTGAAAGATATTTGCAGTCTTTGGCAGCTTCCAGCCACTCATCCGGCCCAGCATTGCTCCTCAGTCGAGCGGGCCCCGGCTGGGGAACGGATTTGTCCACCATCCCAGAATTGACCCTTTACTTTAATAGGGTATCAGGCAATATTTCGTTGCGTAGGAGAAAAGTTAGGCTAGCGAGTCTCACAAGCTCTATGAGAGGGATTGGACGAAGGAACGGGAGAATGGGAGGGGGCACAAAGTTGAGTGAGTGCAGTGATAGAAGATAACTGTATGAGATCAGAGTCAGAATACATATATAGGCAACATGGCGCGTGTGTTGCAGTCTATAGTATGTGATATAGCAATGTATGATACTGTCGACTGTTGAATTTCAGCAGAACAAAAGAAGTGACGGTCCAATGTTTGAAGGAACGGTTAACTTACGTCACAGATGATACGCGATGCTGGCCAAGACTTGGTGAGACAGCCACATCGATACGCGTAATACCAATACGAGATATGCATGGAACAAGCACAGAGGATTTAACCTGTTCTTACGAATTATATATATATTCAAATTTTATTTAAAGAAATTTATATAAAAATATGACTTTAATAAATATGCTTTTTATAATATTGTTAAATTTTTTAATATATTTCAGTAAAATTTAATTAAAGTATATATATATAAATTAAACTACAAAAAATTAATTTTAAATGATTTTATAATTAAAATGAAAGTAATTTCTACTATTTAAAATTAATTAAATTAATAATATTAATAGAAATAAAATATGAATATTTAAAAAATTACTTATTAAAATAATACAAATATATATATATATATTATTTATTTATTTAAAATATATTTAATTAATAATTATAATATTTATTTAGTTAAATTAAAATTTAATTATTTTATTAATTTAATTATTAAATAATATTTAAATTATATAATTAAAAAGTTTTTATTTTATAATAATATAATATTTAAAAAATAATAATAAAAAATAAATTTATATAGTTATAATTTTAATTAAAATAAAAATAAAATCAATTAATAACTTAATTAATTAGAATAATAAAATAAAATAAAAATTAATGAAAGTAATATTAAATAAAATAATATTTTAAGTTTAATATTCATTACTATGATATAATTACATATAATATAAAAAGATTAATTTACTTTACTATATTTTAAAAATTAATTTACTTTAATTTTCAATTATATTTAATTATTTATATTAATTAATTATAACTTTTAATCTTTTATTTATATTTAATTATTTATTAATTTTAATATTTTAATTCTATATTAAATTATATAAAAAAAAGTATAAAATTAATATATTGATTTAAAAAAAATATCAAAATCAAATTATAAAATTATTCAATTCAATTTATAATTAGCTCATAATAATGTAGTTGAAAATTTATTATTGTATAATCAATATAATTTTAAAAAAAATTAATAAATAGAGATTATAAATTATATAAAATTTTTGAAAAAAAAAAATCAAAAAAAACTTTTATGAAATATTAATATTAAATTATCAGAATCTATATTAGAGAATAAAACAGTGCTAATATTTAATATTATACTATCAAATATCAAAGATAATATACTTAAAAAGAATCAATCAAATTACTCAAAACTTTGATAATTTGAGACTTTAATTGATAAATATAAAAAATTAACTAAAGTTAAAAAAGATTAAAAGAAAAGTTAATCTCTATGAATATATATAAAAATATTAAAAATAACTACATTTTTAATAATAAAAGAATAAAATCTAAATACTAAAATAACTTTTTTAAAAATAAAGAAAATAAAAATATTTTTATAATATTTAATTATATTAAATTTAAAGAAGTAATAAAGCTTTTTATATTAAAATATAAATATCAAAATTAAGATTATATTATTAATATATTTCAAAAAAAATGTCAAGTATTTATGAGTTTTATTTTCAAAGTCAATAGAATTTGAAAAATATATTTCTATCAATAAATATTATAAAAATAATGCAAAGTAAAAATGATTTAACTCAATTAAAAATTAGTTAGAAACAGCTATTTTCACTAGTTCTACTAAAATAGCTACTTGAACCTGACTTTATAAATTACTTTATAATATAAAAAATATATTTTAAACTAAAAGAAGAACTTTTTACATTATTCTTCTATTTAATAAAATATGAATATTATTTAGTATACTGAAGAGAGATTATAGAAATTATTCTAGCAAAATTTAATAAAATATCATTAATTTTTAAATTCTATTAAGTTATATTTCTTCTGAACTATTTGAGAAAAATTTTTTAAAAAATTATTATTTTTAGACTTTTTTTAAGCCATTATTACTGATTTATTATATAATAATTAAATAAATAATGTAATCAATCATCTAGTAAGACAGATCATCTACTAAGATAGATCTTCATCATTCAATATCTTTCTAATTAAATATCATCACAACTATATAGTAAAACTAGCTAATTATATTATAA